GATCATGGACTTTTCTTCCCAAGGGAAAGAAGGTCAATATCATTTGGTCAGCGATTTTATGTTTGAAACTGTTAAAGTAGTGATTGTCGGGGTAAACCTCAGGCTGCTGGCAATAGATCTCTTTGTACGGGAGAAGAAGCCTCGCAAAAAAAAATGTTTTTCTTAGTTATGAACATGGCCCTCGCTGATGTGATGTTAGGAGCTGTGTCTATTCCTTTGTTTGTTTATTTGTCGGTGGAACCCTACATTCTTTTTCATTTTCTTGATATCACTTTTTCACAGTCGTCGCTGATTTCGGCAGTTTTTATATCCTGTGAAAGATGTTATGCCATCAATTAAACACAAAACGCTGTCAATGCTAACGTTTGGAATAGTATGGTCTCAACTGGTCTTTGGCCATCCTTATCTCCATCTTGTTTTTCCTTGGTCTCTACCAAAATTAATTTAAAGCAGCTTTTTTAATTTGTCTTGGATGTCATTCCCCTTGGGTTTTTTACTCATCGTTTGTGCATTTAACATCAGTTCGAAAAGGAAATACTGCTTTACAATTAACAGCAACAACTAGCAGCATTCGAGGTAAAAACCAACTCTTGACAGAAACCTTGCTGTTTGTATCCGCCATTTCTGTTCTCTTCTGGCTTCCTATGGTCTTTGTTAACTATTTAACCGCTGTCCGGCAGGTCGATATCCCAGACCTGTTTGTAGCTATCATTTTTTTTCCAATTCTATTTTAAATCCATTCATGTATGCATTAAGAATCCCTGATAAATATTGGTTAAGGCGGTAATGAATGGGAACGGTAGAAAAGCTGAAGAGAAAACATGGCTGCCTTTTTAACGCCTGCGTTGCAGCTCAGATGGTCACATCATCAATCCAGTCAAGTGCAGCAGAAGCTAGCAGACCACAAACAGACAAGAGATTATGGACACATGCAAGCTATGATCAAACTGACCGCTCTATACAGTCAAACCTCTTTAATACGGACACCAAAGGAAAAGATCCAAGTGTCCGCTTTACAGAGGTGTCCGTATATGGAGGTAGGGAATGTATGATTTTTAAGCCATTTCTGGGACCAAACGAACTGTCCGTACTATAGAGGTGTCCGTAAGAAGAGGTTGGACTGTATACATTATTGATATATATTGGAAACACACTGCTAGCAAATGGATGAAAGACAATAATAAATAATGACATATTCAATAGAACTAGTGTTTAGTGAACAGAAAGTCGTTAAAAACATTATTTTCAGCAGCGAGTGTGATTTCAAACTGTATTTATTTATATAAGAAAAGAATGAGCAGTAAAATCTTTATTTGGCGTTTAAATATGGATACTGGGAGTAGTTTTTCTCTGGTCATCATTTTTTTTAGTCCTTCACGATCGTACATTTCGGTGACGTATGTGACGCCTGAGAAGGAAGTCGAGTGGATAGGGGGGAGTTAGGGGGGATCCACACTTATCCGGTCATTTTTTGAAAATGGAGAGTTTTTTCCGTTTTTGCCTGCCTTCCACAAGGTAAACGGTGTTTTCAGCACCCGAACGCAGTTTTTCCAAAACGGTCTCCAGACTGGAGATTTTTTTTGCTATTGAGAACGCCGCTCACCCGTCACACAGCGAAAGGTAAGGGAAGCTATGGCATTTTATTCGTTATTATCGTTTTCTCTTCGAAGGCCAAAAATACGTGTGTACACGTATTTTTTCGAAAACGGAGAAAGAAATCTCCGTTTTATTGATGATTACATCTTGGTACGCAGTTATGACCAGGGGGAGAAGCGTCTGGCCTTTTTAATATTAGCATAATAATCGTGGGATCAATTCAGTGAAACTAATACTAGTACTCTAAACCTATAGCTACTCTACTTACATCATACACTGTGGGTGACAAATTGCCTGAGCATTTTAGCAAGAAAGAAAACTCCAATGAATATGTCATTGACAGTGCACATCTAAAAGAAATAGTGTCGTCCTTATCATTTTACAGCACCTGCGATTATACTGAGATCCGGAGGGGGTACTAACTATAATGGTAAGCGCCGGCTACGTCTAATAAGGGTACTTTTTTCAGGCCTCAGGTATGAAAGGGGAAGGGATTTCACCGGATGAAGTATACGAAAGGGTATTTTGGTCGTAAAAAGGTCCAAAAAGGCTAACAGCTGCATTTTATGGCAATAAAAAGTCGAAAACTACGTTATGGTTTTGTGGTTTTTCAGAGATATTTATAAAAACAGTGAATGTACAGTACCAAGAGAGAATGATCTTGACAGTAGTTACTAGGGATGATGGAAAGTTCAAAAGTAGATGTATAAAACTTTGGTGAGTTTCCAACCTCCCCCTCCCCCCTTGAGTCCTCAAACTAAACATTCGGGTATATTTGTTAATCGTAACTACTTTGGCGACGAAAGTACACAGGAGCCCATAATCCTGGCGACGAGCAAAATTTACAATAATTAGCGGATTATAATGTTTGCATAAAATTGATCGACTGTTATTAAAGGGAAAAATTATTCACCTGGTGCTTCAAAGCATCCGTGTCGAGACAGACAACGCCATTTCGCGCACTAGTCTCTTACACGAAGGCAGAGGAAATAAGATGGAAAACAACTCGGTCACCAGAGGCTCTACCAACACTTTTACATCCCCTACGATGATGGACACTCCATCCAAAGCACAAGAAGGAAGAGTAGTGGTTACAGCCTTTATGTTTGAAAGTGCCATAATTGTCATGCGAAACATGCTAGTAATAATTCTCTTTGCACGGGAAAAGAAGCTTCGCAAGAAAAGTTTGTTCCTAGTAATGAATATGGCCGTCGCTGATACGGTGTTAGGAGCCGTGGCCTTGCCTTTGCATGTTTATTTGACTGTAGGGCCAGAACATGAGTTTATTTTTCATTTTCTTGACACCACCTTTTCACAGTCCTCGCTAATTTCAGCAGGTTTTATATCCTGTGAAAGATTTTACGCCGTCTTTTGGCCACAAACCGCTGTCAATGCGAACATATGGTATTGTTATTTTTACGGTCTGGTTATTAGCTATTCTTGTCTTAATAATAGCCGTTCTCTTTTATAACTACAAGTCATTTAAAGTGGCTACCTTGTCTTGGATGTCATTTCCCTTGAGTTTTCTATTCATCGTTTGTGCATGTAACATCAGTATAAGGAGAAAAGTTCGAATAGGAAACATTACTTTACAACAACAAAACTGAGCAGCATCCCAAAACCAACGCTTGACAAATGCCTTGCTGTTTGTATCCGCCATTTCTGTGCTTTCTTGGCTTCCTTTGGTCATTGTTAACTATCTGGTGTTTGTCCAGGGGCTCGATATCCCTCGACGATTTTTGTTTGTAGATATCATAAATATTCTTAATCATTCCAACTCCATATGCATTCTAAATCCGTTTGTCTATGCGCTAAGAATCCCTGAGTTTAGGCAAGCACAGCGGGTTTCGTGTTGTTCAGGATGTAATGAATAGGCCGGGAATAGTAGGAAGAGAAAATATGGCTGCCGTTTTAACGCCCATGTTACAGCGAAGAGCAATACAATGCAATTCCCATAGTCAAGTTCACCAGATCTACGAAAAAGAGGTTATGGACACTAAGTTGTGAACAAAGATCCTGTCTAACGCGTTACTGATGAACTCTAAATGCACCAGTTAAAGGATTCAGTTAAAGGACGTGTCTCCAGTGGAAGGTTAGCAAGTCCTTAAAAAACGTATTTTTTTCTAAGGCCATTGTTATTTTCAACTGAACCGTTTTTGAATATAGATACCTTTCCGGTTTGCCGGACTACAAAATACAAGGACCAATCAAAAGCCAGGAAACTGGATTCTTAAAAGGGGATAAAAACTGAACGTTAAAGAGTACTGTAAAATTTTTTCCGAAAGGTAAAGGGTAAAACTTAAGAAAGCCTGAACTCCGGCCAATGAAAGCTGCAGTGAAGTAAAAACCCGTGCGTAAGAATCTTTTTTTGTGTGTGGCAAAAGGGGTTAAGTTCTTGTGTTTTGGGTGGTGATTTGGCAACTGGGGCTAATAAACTCTTTGGCCATGAACGACAAACTGTGCCGGTTTCCGTACATATGTTTATGAATTGTCTTCTTGCGGTTCTAGCCCGGATATGTTCTAGCCCTTTGCTTCTCTTTGTCCGTAGCCATACAAGATAAGGTTTCCATTATTTTAGTCACGATCCTAATTAACTAGCAAAAGCAAGACAACTCGAAGCAAACACAAAGTGAGCCCCGAAAAATCGCGCTCATGTTATCAGTTTGGTGTGAAAAAAAACTACGAGAAAAAAAAGCTGTCAATTGAGAGTTGCTCAAATAAATCAGCTATATAGAGACGCTTAAAGAAGTGTCGATTTATTTATTTTATTTAGACTTGTTTTCGTACTGTCTCGGGCATTTTATTAGAAAGAATACATGTACATCAATGACTGTTTATTGACAGTCATATCACTTTCCGACAGCTGAGGCCATACCTAAACTAAACATGCAGGTATTTTTGTTGGACTTAATCATTTTTTGCGACTAGTAAAGTTGACATTGAGGAGCAGTTCTTAATGTATGCGGAGAAATGATCGAAAAAGATAATATTTACCTGAAGTTTAAAAGCACACAACCAATTTCTTTTTTCAAACGTGTAACAGATTCTTACAGATTCTTACACGGAAGCAGATCCGAAATTAGATGGAGACCCATTCGGTCACCAGAGGCTCCAACAACATTTCTACATCCCCTTCGATGTTCAAGAGCTTTCCTTCCCAAGCACAAGGAATAGCAATGGTCACCGCCTTTATGGTTGAAAGTGGTCTAATTGTCGGAGGAAACATGCTGGCAATAATTCTCTTTTCAAAGGAGAAGAAGCTTCGCAAGAAAAGTTTGTTCTTAGTTATGAACATGGCCCTCGCTGATGTGATGTTAGGAGCTGTGTCTCTGCCTTTGTATGTTTATTTGATTGTAGGACCCTACTATCAGCTGTGGACTGCAAAGGCAAATACCTCCATGTCATATTTTTATCATTTTCTTGATGTCACGTTTTCTCAGTCCTCGCTAATTTCCGCAGTCGTTATATCCTGTGAAAGATTTTATGCCGTCTATTGGCCACTCAGGCACCAAACAATGTCAATGCGGGCGTATAGCATTGTTATTTTTATGGTCTGGTTTCTGGCTATCGTTGTTTCAATTGTGTTTCTCTTTTCGTTCAACCTAGAGTCACTTAAAACAGCTGCCTTGTCTCGGATGTCATTCCCCTTGAGTTTTCTGTTCATCGTTTGTACATGTAACATCAGTATATGGAGAAAAGTTCGAAAGAGAAATATCGCTTTACTACAGCAAAACCGAGCAGCATCCCAAAACCAACGCTTGACAAATGCCTTGCTGTTTGTATCCGCCATTTCTGTGCTTTCTTGGCTTCCTTTTGTCATTGTTAACTATCTGGTGTTTGTCCAGGGGCTCGATATCCCTCGACGATTTTTGTTTGTACATATCATAAATATTCTTAATTTTTCCAACTCCATTTTAAATCCGTTTGTCTATGCCTTAAGAATCCCTGAGTTTAGGCAAGCACTGCGGGTTTCGTGTTGTTCACGATGTCCGGACGTAATAAATAGGCCAGGAATAGTAGAAAGGAAAAATATGGCTGGCGTTTTAACGCCAGTGTTACAGCGAGGAGCAATCCAATGCAATTCCAGTCAAGTTCACCAGTTCTACCAAAAAGAGGTTATGGACACTAAGTTGTGAAAAAAGGTCCTGTCTAACGCGTTACTGATGAACTCTAAATGCACCACTGGAGAAAAACTGAAAGACAGTAAACAATGGATTATTAAGGGACGTGTTTCTAGGGGAAGATTACCAAGTCCTTAAAAAACATATTTTTTTCTAAGGTGATTGTTATTTTGAAACCGTTTTTGAATATAGATATAAAAATTATATAAACAATAAAACTTTATTGCGGGTTTTTGAATCATTACCCCGCGATCAGTATGTTAATTTTTGATGTTTGCTATATTTTCGTAACATCTGATCGAGTCCCTGGAAATTGTCACTTCACTGCTACCATAGCCTGCGAAAACATCCGTTTCTCCTCATTCTTCGCCGCTGGGGACGCTTCGCGCGGAGGAAAGTCTGCGACTCAGAGACAGAAATCCCATACTGATGACGCAAATCAATGTTTAGATAATAAATAAGGTAGTCATAGGGTTTCAAATGTAAATTTGTCCAATCTTACGTGTCTTGTGGTCGATTTTGGAAAAGTGTACGTTGTGTTCATCTGCCAACTAGCTCCAGCAGAACTCAAATGCTTCTTCTAGAGAAGACTACATTCCACAGATATTGACTGTTTTGTTAGAGATTCTTCGCGTTTACATTTGACCCTTGTCGCCTTTTGTCTTTTGTCTGTCGTTCGTAAACGATAACTAAAACAATCTAACTACTCCGTCGACCAATCAGCACTTCTGACCGGATTCCGGACAGATTTTACGTCATCAGTATGGAATTTCTGTCGCTGAGTCGCAGACGTTCCTCCACGCGAAACGTCACCAGCGGCGAAGAGCGGGGAGAAACGGATGTTTTCGCAGGCTGCTGCTACCAATGCGGTATTGGTAAATATTTTGGCTGAGGTGAAGGAACGGCAAATTACTGCGACGGCATGCAATTTAAAAAGAACGGCAAGGTTTTTTTAAAAAAGTGGGGTACGTACTACAATGTGTGACAATGTTAGCACAAAGTGCTACCAGGAATTTACAAAGTGTGAAGGTACAGGGTCTGCAAAATTAGTGAAACACCTGTACTAAAATGCCTGATAAAATTCAGTTACCTTTGAGGGTAGCTCACCAATCTGTTGTCTTGGGCAATAACAGCACTAAGTGGTGAACATTTATTTTTTTCAATAATCCGTTTTTACTTAGCCATGCGATTTCGTTCATAGATAACAGGCATTCAGAATCAATACTACTGCGGCTTAAATTAGTTGTTATAGGGTAAAATTTGTATTAGCTTTGACTTGAATAAATTGTAACTGAAAACTGAAAACGTTACTGAAATTACAAAAGTTGAAACTACACGGCAATTTTCGAATAAGGCTTAAACACAAGCTAATTCCAGAACAATTTTATCATGATCGTTCAAAAACCTGGCGGCAGAAGTCCAATTAAAGAAAAGTCATCATGCAGAATACTACCTTAATTTTGTCGTTTAATATATTCTGCCATGAATATTTACCCTTAGAGCAGAAGCATAAAAGCTTTGGTACAAAACGATTGACTTTTAACAAACACCACGAAAGGTTAACAAGAAATCAAAAGAATTGCTCCTCTTAATTTCGCAGCCGCATAATTCGAATAGCGCGAGAAAACAGACAACATTTCGCGACGCCACCAACGGTTTCCCCGCGAAATGACGTCTGAGAAATTCCATACTGATGTCGCGTCACTACCCGGATCTGGGTGGTGCTTCTGATTGGCTGAAGCAAATTTCACATGTGGCACGACCAATCAGAAGCACTACCCAGATCTAGGTATTGATGCGTCGTCAGTATGAAATTTCTGCGCTCGTTTCTCAGACGTCATTTCGCGGGGAAACCAGTGGTGGCGTCGTGAAATGTCGTCTGTTCATCTCAGGCTATAATTCGAACAGCCTTGACAAGTTCAACGGGGTATAACGTCGGCCGTTATTAAATAATGTCAAAAATAAGATATTTCTTCATACTTTAGGGAGAAACCTGTAGGACAACAAAACATTGTGTAAATAAATTATATGATTTTTATTCTATAACATGCTTCGAGCCGTTCTTTTTAGTGCCGATACATTACCGGTTTGCCGGAATACGTATACAAAATACAAGGACCAATCAAAAGCCAGGAAACTGGATGCTGGATAAAAGGTATAAAAACTGAACGTTAAGTACTGTGATTTGTCTTTCCAAAAGGTAAAGAGTAAAACTTAAGAAAACCTGAACTCCGACCATTAAAAGCCGCAGTAAAGTAAAAACCCGTGTGTAAGAACCGTTTTTTGTGGCAAAAGAGGTTCTTGTGTTTTGGGTAGTTATTTGGCAACTGGGGCTAATTAAATCATTGGCCATGAACGGCAAATTTTGCCAATTTTTGTGCATATGTTTTTGAATTTTTTTCGTGCGGCTCTAGCCCGGATATGTCCTAATCCTTCGCTTCACTTTGTCCGTAGCCATACAAGAAAAGGTTTCCATTATTTTAGTCACGACGCTAATTAACTAGTAAAAACAAGACAACTCGAAGCAAACACAAAGTGAGCCCCGGAAAATCACGCTCATGTTATCAGTTTGGTGAGAAAAAAAAACAACAACAATGAGAAACAAAAGCTGTCAATTAAGAGCCACAGTGCTCAAATAAATCAGCTGTACAGAGACGCTTAAAAAAGTGTCGATTTATTTATTTTATTTAGACTTGTTTTCATACCGCCTCGGGCATTTTATTGGAAAGAATACATCAATGACTGTTTATTGACAGTCATAGCACTTTCCGACAGCTGAGGCCATACCTAAACTAAACATGCAGGTATTTTTGTTGGAATTAATCATTTTTTGCGACTAGTAAAGTTGACATTGAGGAGCAGTTCTTAATGTATGCGGAGAAATGATCGAAAAAGATAATATTTACCTGAAGTTTAAAAGCATACGTGTCGAGGCACACAACCAATTTCTTTTTTCAAACGTGTAACAGATTCTTAAACGGAAGCAGATGCGAAATTAAATGGAGACCCATTCGGTCACCAGAAGCTCCAACAACATTTCTACATCCCCTTTGATGTTGAAGAGCTTTCCTTCCCAAGCACAAGGAATAGCAATGGTCACCGTCTTCATGTTTGCAAGTTATCTAATTGTCGGCATGCTGGCAATAATTCTCTTTGCAAAGGAGAAGAAGCTTCGCAAGAAAAGTTTGTTCTTAGTTATGAACATGGCCCTCGCTGATGTGATGTTAGGAGCTGTGTCTCTGCCTTTGTATGTTTATTTCTTTGTAGGACCCTGCCATCTGCTTTGGACTACAAAGGCAAATACCTCCATGTTATATTTTTATCATTTTCTTGATGTCACGTTTTCACAGTCCTCGCTAATTTGCGCAGGTTTTATATCCTGTGAAAGATTTTATGCCATATATTGGCCACTTAAACACCAAACAATGTCAATGCGGGCGTATAGCATTGTTATTTTTATGGTCTGGTCTCTTGCTATCTTTACCGGTTCCATTGTATTTTTCCTTTCTTACCACCAAAAGTCATTTAAAACGGCTGCATTGTCTTGGATGTCATTCCCCTTGAGTTTTCTGTTCATCGTTTGTGCATGTAACATCAGTATATGGAGAAAGGTTCGAAAGAGAAATATCGCTTTACTGCAGCAAAATCGAGCAGCATCCCAAAACCAACGCTTGACAAAAACCTTACTATTTGTGTCCGCCATGTCTGTTCTCTCCTGGCTTCCTTTGGTCGTTGTCAATTATCTGACCGTTGTCCAGGAGGTCGGGGGCGTTATCACTGACCTGATCGTGGGTATCATAACCATTATCAATCTTTCCAACTCCATTTTAAATCCATTTGTCGTTGTATTAAGAATCCCTGAATTTCGGCAAGCTCTGTCGCTGTGTTTTTCACGACGTCAGGCCGAAGTGAATAGACCGCGTATGGAAGGAAGAGAAAATATGGCTGCCGTTTTAACACCTGTGCAACACGAGATAACAACATTACAACCCGATTCCAGTCAAGTACAACAGACCTTCGAACAAGAGACGATAGACACTAAGTTATGATCAAACTTCATGATCAAACTTCTTATTTTCTACAAAATAATTATAATTCAATTGCAATTATTACACAACTAGAAAATGGATTTAGCCAGTCCCTAGGCCTTATTATTCCACGCAGCCAAAGTGTTTCGGGTAACGTGATCCAAGCCGCGAAAATTGAATTGGCCGAGAGGGACTGGGAAAACGCCGTACAGGGACTAGGCAAGAAAATGGATGAAAACACTAAACGGTTGTCGTCAGACAGTGCCAGTTCAACGGACAAGTTTATAACAGGAATAGCTAGTGTTTAAAAATACTTCAGCCGTGATTGGGAATTTGAGAAGTATTTAGATGTAACTGAAAACAAGGAAATTCTTATTTTGCTTTAAAATATGGATGAGTATTTTCTTTCTTGCCATTATGGAGAAGAGATCGAAAGAGAAATATCGCTTTACAACAGCAAAAACTATCAGCATTCCCAATAAAAACCAACTCTTGACAGAAACCTTGTTGTTTATATTCGCCATTTCTGTTCTCTCCGTTAACTATCTAACCGCTCTCTGGCAGGTCGATATCCCAAACGTGTTTTTAGCTATAATTCTTTTTCCAATTCCATTTTAAATCCGTTCATGTATGCATTAAGAATCCCTGACAAACATTGGTCTTGTGTTGTTCACGACGTCAGGCCGTAATGAATGGGCAGGGTAAAGAAGAAAGCGAAAATATGGCCCCCTTTTTAACGCCTTTGTTGCAGCTCGGATCATCACGTCCTCAATCCAGTCAAGTACAGCAGAAGCTAGCAGAGCATGCCAAAAACAGACAAGAGGTTTTGCAAACCAAGCTACATGATCAACTGCCCGTTCTATATACATTATTGATATACATTTTAATACACGGCTAGCAAATGGATGAAAGACAATAATGGTTTATTCATAAGAACAAGTGTTTAGTGAACAGAAAGTCGTTGAAAACATTATTTTAGCAGTGAGTCTGATTTCAAACTGTATTTATGAATATAAGAAAAGAATGAGCAGTAAAATCTTTATTTGGCGTTTAAATATGGATATGAGTAGTTTTTCTTTGGTCATCACTTCTTTTAGTCCTTCACAATTATACACTTCGGTGACTCATGAGAAACACCCTCTGGAACGAAGTCGAGTTGTGGGGGGGGGAGGGGGGGGGGTCACAAGGTAAATGGTGTTTTCAAGCACCCGAAATACAGTTTTTCCAAAACGGTCTCCAGAGTGGAGTTTTTTTTTTTTTTTGAAACGTGGGCTTATCGTTTTCGTGTGGACGGACGAAAACGGAGGCTTTCCAAAACGATCATTCCATGCATGTCATACAGCGAAAGGTAAGGGATGCTATAGTATTTCATTCGTTATATCATTTCGTGTGGCAGGGCAAAAACGATTGGCATAAGCTGAGTGTGTACGCGTATTTTTTCGAAAACGGAGAAAAAATTCTCCGTTGTCAAACATATTTGGGTACGTGTGGACATGAACGAGGCGTAACTTTCACAGTGTTGTTTATCGCGACTCGCTACTATCTTCAACTTTGTCTGGCCTTTTTTGCGAGGCTCCCACGCACAGAGCCCCATACTCATAGAATAAGGTCAACGCGTACGTACTTGTCTATAGATTGTACGGGTGGAGTAGGGGAGACTATCAAAAGGAAGGGAATGCCTTGGCAAATCCACATCTCTTATATTGGACATTCACAATATCGTCAATTGGCAGCTGTCAAAACAGGATAGCCATTGACCAGTATCACATGACCATATTGCGGGCTCATATGTCAACTCATCGAGGTGACGTGATTTATTTGGAAGCTGTCCGCTGACCAGTTAATTGTTTTACTAGATCATGATCATCTTATACTTTCTACACAGGAAAACTGATAATGCACACATATTGGACATCAATGTTGTGATCAATTGACAGCTGTCAAGACAGGGCATCCGCTGACCAGTATCACTTGACCGTGTCGCGGGCTCAGGTGTCGACTCATCGAGGTCAAGTATTTCTTTGAAGTTATCCTCTGACAAGTTACTAGTTTTCAAATGATCGCAGGCTCAAGTTTATTTTTTTAAAATTCAAGTGAAATATGCCGTGTTTATGTGCAGCACAATAAAAAATTTTGATTTCAAACTGACCTTTGCTCACCATTGTCACGCGTTGGTCTCGCTCTACGTCCAATTTTTATACTCTGATTGGTCAAAATTTGACAGGTGAGTTGATGCGGAAAATTTATGCAGCATCTTGAATCTTGTTTACTTTCACAGCTGAGGCTGTCAGAGTTTTGTGTGAACTTGTGATGTTTTTAACTGTCTTTTTCCACTGGATGTACAAAAATGAAATTCAACTGCTATCAGGAGTCTTCCGTTATCCAAGGTCATGAGTTTGTTTAATGGGTTTTTGGTTGAGACATACGTCACTTGGCAAAGTTGGAAATCCGATTTCACCTTGCTTTATGCGTAAGCAGTCTGGAATATCCTCAAATTTAAGGACAGGGTCAACTGGTCACGCGACACTGTTCAACCAATGAGAAGGCGCGCTTGTGTTTATCAAATTATCGACCCAGTGATCAAAAATTTTGACACCAGCCGACAGAGTTGGACAGATTTTAAGATACGCTTACAGTGCTCGTCTGGGTTTCACATTATTTCAAAGAAAACAATTGAAGTAAGGGCTAAAAGCGAAGCTCCCGTTAATAAATTCATAATTTAAATCAAACAAGGAACTTGTAATCCACAGATCAGGGCACATTCATGTGACTTTTGAGGCAAAGGCTAAGTGATTCTAGAGAAAAATAATTTGACAGTTCCAGAGTGAAACAAATTTTACATCGAGTTAATAGTCTTATTTGTGTACCCAAAAATAGCAATCATGTTCGATCACGGTAGATTAGGCCTGGAAAACAAAAAGACCTATTCGTGTATCGCATTTGCATTAGCTGTTGCATCATAATGTGGCATTCACCAGTCTCTCCAACATTGCTCCGTTTGAGATGGATAATTGCATGGACAACCCCGAAACATAATTTTGAGAATTCAGGAACGACGCTCACTAGCAAAAACGATCGAACAAAGCGAAGAAAACACAGACTGGAAAAAGTGCTTTCATCTTAAATTTCATGTATACAAAACTGAAATAAAGTAGGGAGCTGTCCATTTCAACGGCTCAGATAAATCGGGTACAGAGACGTTTAAACAGTGTCCATTAATTTACTCTATTCTGAACTGACTTGTAGAACACCAATAACTGTTTTAACAGAGTTTATCTCAAAATATAATGTATTCATTATCACTTTACAGCACCTGCGATTTGGTGAAACTAAACACTAGTTTTAAATACTTCGGTATTTTGTTAATCGTAAATATTTTGGCGACAAGCATAATTGACACAGCGGATTATAATGTACGCATACACATTATCGACTGTTGTGAAAGGAAAAAATTATTCACCTGGTGCTTCAATGCATCCGTGTCGAGACAGACAACGCCATCGCACAGAGTAGTTTCTAACACAGAGGCAGAGGAAATAAGATGGAAAACAACTCGGTCACCAGAAGCTCTACCAACACTTCTACACCCCCTAAGATGACGGACACTCCATCCAAAGCACAAGGAATAGCAGCGGTTACCGACCTTATGTTTGAAAGTGGTCTAATTGTCATGGGAAACGTCCTGACAGTAATTCTCTTTGCAGGGGAAAAGAAGCTTCGCAAGAAAAGTTTGTTCTTAGTTATGAACATGGCCCTCGCTGATGTGATGTTAGGAGCGGTGTCTCTGCCTTTGTGGGTTTATTTTCTCGTAGGACCCTACTATTTGTTGTGGATTGCAAAGACAAATGCCCCCATTTATTATTGTTTTCATTTTCTTGATACTACCTTCTCGCAGTCCTCGTTAATTTCAGCAGTTTTTATATCTTGTGAAAGATTTTATGCCGTCTATTGGCCACTTAAACACAAAACATTGTCAACACGAGCGTATGGCATTGCTATTTTTATGGTCTGGTCTCTGGCTATCCTTGTTTCAATTGCCGTTTTCCTTTCTCTCTACCTAGGGTCAGATAAAGTAGCTGTCTTGTCTTGGATGTCATTCCCCCTGAATTTCCTGTTCATCGTTTGTGCATGTAACATCGGTATATGGAGAAAAGTTCGAAAGAGAAATAACGCTTTACAAAAGCAAAACCGAGCAGCATCCCAAAACCAACGCTTGACAAAAACTTTGCTGTTTGTATCCGCCAATTCTGTTCTTTCCTGGCTTCCTTTAGTCATTGTTAACTATCTGATTGCTATCCAGCGGTTCGATATCGCACAATTGTTTGTAGCTGTCATAAATATTCTTAATCTTTCCAACTCCATTTTAAATCCACTTGTCTATGCATTAAGAATCCCTGAGTTTAGGCAAGCACTGCGATTTTCGTATTGTTCACGACGCCAGGCCGTAATAAATAGGCCGCGTATAGAAAGAACGGAAATATGGTTGCCGTTTTGACGCCTGGCTTGCAGCTGAGAACGTTACATCCTGATTACAGTCAAGTACAGCAGAACTTCGAACAAAAGACAATGGACACTAAGTTATGACCAAACCGCCCGTTGCATATACATTATTTGATATATATTGTAAATACACTATGGACTATTCGTTTCACGAAGGAACAACTGTTTTAGTAAATAGCAACAGCGAGTGTGCCACCGCAAGCATCAATTCACCGAGACTGCCCGGCTTCTGAAAGTAATGAATGAAGTTCTTTGGACTATTCACAGTCGGCAAGAAGTTGTTTTGTCATCTCTCAGCGGCATTTGAAACACTAGACCACACTATACTTTTGGCCGGAGAGACTGAATAGTTACTTCGGTTTTTCCCACACAGGGCTAAGATGGTTTTCTTCTTATCTTGCTGATCGAACGCAATCTGTTATAATTGGTAACACAATATCCAGCTGTCGGAGATTAGAATTTGGAGTTCTGCAAGGTTCGATACTCGGTCCTTTCTTGTTTACTCTTTATTCAAGACATGATCTCTGCTCGTAACCTAGACTGTATGTTCTATGAAGATGATTCTCAACTATACATTACAGTTGATCCTCTTGATCAACGTCCTGCCTTAAACACCCTTCAGAAGTGTATTTAGTGAAGTTATAGAATTGAACACCATCAATAAGTTAGTGTGCAATCTTAGTAAAATAGAGTTCATTCAGTTTAGTTCTCGTTTTGTCAAGAACCCAATTCTTAGTGATTTTTTGATTGGCAACTCTAGAGTACAACCATCAGACCGACGTTGTAATCGTGGTGTCAGCCTAGGTAGAGAGCTCAATGTTAGTCATCATGGTAATGGAACATGCAAAAAGGCTATGCTGGCGATTCAAGTTATTGGCAGATTGAGGAAGTATCTGAGCAAGGATCACCTTAACAAGATGGTCAATGCGTTTTTTATGTCTCGCTTGGATTATTGTAGCAGTTTGTATTGTGTCTAACCTAAGCGAGAAATAGTCAAGCTGCAACGTGTTCATAACTGTGCCCCACGCTTGGTTTCAGGAATAAGAAGATTTGACCATGTAACTCCTGTCATGAAAGACATGCACTGGCTTCCTATTGGTGCACGCATCGATTTTAAAATACTGCTTTAACATTTAGAATTTTAAATGATTTAGCTCCTTACTATTTGTCTTCACTCCTTCTCAAATACCAGCCGACTCCTTTACTCTGCTCATCTAATGGACTGCTTCTACAAATTCCTTCTGTTAATACCGTGACTTACAGGCACCGCTCATTTTCATATTATGCAACGAAAATCTGGAACAGTTTACCTGATCATATCAAATACTCTGAATCTATTTCCACTTTTTAAAAACAATTACTGTACATAGTTCTTTTAGTTTTAATTTACTGCTGTAAGCGCATTGAGAATTGCTTTCAATGCGCCACAAAAATTAACCCATTTGAATAGTAGAAAAATACAAGCACTTAAATCTTTCCTTGGCGTTTTAATATTTATCGTTACCTTTTCCTTTGTTAGTATCTGATCGAAAAAAGAATGACAAGGATTACAAAGTGAGACATATACTACAATATATGAAAAAAACGCTGGTGATAAAATTCAGTTACTTTTGGTTTGTTGCTTTTGAGGGTATTTCTCTAATGTATTAGGTTGGGTAATTATAGAATGTAGTTGTCAGAACCAATTTTAGCGGTTTTTTATTATTCTTGCATTTCAATCTAAGTTCATAAATAGGATTCATAATCAATACTATTGTTGCATAATTAGCTGTTTTGAATCGTTGGGAAATTTGCATCAGCTTTTTAATCTCAATAAAAACTGAAATCACAAATGTCATTGTGTTACTGACAGTGATATTATATTTTCTCTACAAAGTGAGGCATCCGATTACTTCGAGTCGTTTTCTCCTCTCAGCAACGTCTGAATCGACCGGCCGTTAATGCTCTCCAGTGACGTCATCACTACCCGAAAACCGGGTAGTGATTCTGATTGGTTGATTGTCTAAACATTCGCATAATTATGAGAAATTTCAGCAGGATTGTCGCTTGATAATTCAGCGGATCACATCCCTGGTATGTTTGAGTGGAGTTCAAACATTTCGCTAATCTTTATCGTAAAAAGCAAAACTGTCCTCGTCTTCGAAATTGAAATGTTAAATTGAACTGCGAATGAAGAATCAGAAGCAGAGAGTCGGTAGCTTTTTCATTTAGGGCCGCTTTGTGGTTTGGGCAGTGATTTTGTTTATACGAAGTTTCTGAGACCAGTGTTGTAATTCGACCTTCTAGCTATTTTCGCCGTCAGTTGTAATGATTCTGTTAGCTCTTCTTTCTTGTTTCCTTGTTTCCTTTTTTCTTCGTTAAGGACCAAGTAGCTTCTTTTCAATAAAAGCAAATCATTGTGAGTAGTGGATAAGGCACCGAATTAACCTTTTTTTGCGGGGGAATTTCATTAACTTGCGGGGCAATACATTAACGCCGGTGACGTCATACATCTCATTAAGATAGGATGATGTCATAGTTTAAATTAATGCCGATGACGTCGTTCATCCCATTAAGATAGGGTGATGTCATAGTTTATTTATGGCTGGCAAGGAGCAAGTGACGTCAGAATTTCCTAGAGTTGATGTCATCAAAAAATGTTGAGATCATAATCTATAAACAGAAAAGTGATTTTTATATAATTAGCTGTTTGCTATAGTCTTTTAATTAGATATTGTTTGCTATAGTCTTCTGATTGGATATTGTAGAAACTGTTATGCGTTTAAAATAAAAGCGGTCAAATTTTGAACGTGTTATCTTTGCAGATTATACTAAATGAAAAATCTTTAATCATTAAATTATTTTCACTAAAAATCGGTTATAAACAAAACCGAGACATAGAGGTTAACTGAAAGATCTTCACTTCAAAAGAAGGGAAAAGGAGGTTAAGAGAATGCGAAATCGTACTAATTTTTCGGGCAAAACATGAAAACGAGGTCGAAGCTCAGCGAAGCGAAAAACTGCCTATCAAGCAAAAATGTCAATCTTTGTTTACTTGACTTTGTAGAAAGTATTGCACAGTGGTTCTAAAGTAAATCCTAACTCTTTTGGTTCTTGAATAAACTCCATTCTAGTAACTAATAAGTGGAACGTCTATTAAAAAAAAGATAGGAACAAGAGGTGCGATCGCCTAGCAACACATGTCTTCTTATTTAGCGCTAAAAACCGGAAATATAAACAAAACACACACACATACACAAAGTGGAGCTGAAAACTCTCTATTTCAATTTTGACTCACCATTACAAAAGCGTTTTCTCCGTTCTATCTCGAGGAAACGACTAACTATTGAATTCTCAGCGCTTGATGAGCTTATGGTATTGTCAATTCACGCGCCGTTAGTCAGTTAATTATGCGGGTTAACAAGCCCAAAGTTGAATACAAATTAGTTGATCTGTACAGCTAGACCCAAGGGAGCACCTTGACGTATTATTATATAAACAATTTTAAATAACTTAACAGGGATCAATTAAAACACGCGACAAATAAAATGACAAGACACGAGATACAGTTTTAAAAACTTTATTGAAAACCAGGGACGAAAAGAGTCAGATACATAGCGATTTGAGAGAGATGGAAATTAATCATCTTTTTCACCCATGGAGTACTTGTAGGATCTAACTCGAAATTTCTTATGCCGAGTTCGTTTCCTCTGTTTGCCATGAGCTTTATGATCATCCAAATAATTTGCAAATTCAATCCGACGCCTTTTGCCCTTCGGGCCTTGTGAAGGGGTTTCTACTGTGGGAGGAGGGGTCAGGAAAGCAGGGTTTTTAGGGTAGTGGTGGGGTGGAGCTTTCTTTTCCAGGTTTTTGTAAGATAGCCGCTTGTGTTAATTAAGGTGTTACGTTGAAGGGGTTAATGGGAGTGGAGAATGCTGCCGTTGCTGTCGAAGAATCATGTGTGCTTGATGTTAAGTCTGGAACAGTGCTGATTATTTCTTCTCGTCGTGTTCTTGTATTTAATTGTTCTTTAAAAGCCAGGTATCTCTTTTGCAACTGATCATCAAAAACGATCAAATTCCGTTTGTTCACATCAAAATAGGAATCCTGCTCCAAAGCCGTAGGAATTCCCTTGACGAATGCAGTGTGTAGCATGGCGACTAGCATTTCTGTATACGCAAGCTGCCATTGTGAATAACACCAAACAATCCTCTCCAGGGGAGGGTAAATTGTCTCTGAAGCTTGTTGCAATAGAGATCGAACCCAGGCCGTTTTTCCGGACCCGATCATTCCGGCAATTATGGAGGTAAAAGGATGCTCGAATCGAAACCGCTGACATTTCTGTGCGAGCGGAACTGTTTGAAATGGGGTGAGGCCAACATTGCGATGTTTAGACATTACGTGCCTTTGCATGCTATCCTTTCTACTAAATGATTTTTCGCAAACGGAACAGAACCAACTAATGTCAACTCCTCAGGAGCAGAATGCAGACTGAGAAAATGGATGCATGTTTCGCATTGATATAGTTTTGAAGGCTATAAAATTCTATAGTTTTCCTCCACCACCACCAGATTTCTATTGTGTTCCTCCACCACCACCGCCGCCACAATTCTATTGTTTTCATTCACCACCACCACCACCACATTTCTATTGTTTTCCTTCCACCAACAACACCACCACCACCACCACCGCCACCACCGACACAACCACATTTTCATTGTTTTCTTCCACCACCACAACCGCCACCACATTTCCATTGTTTTCCTCCACCACCACCACCACATTTACTACTTTTTTTCATCCACGACATTCAATAAAAGACTGCAAACTACTATCATAAGTTCAGTTTGTCGCAATGTCTTAAGCTATCAAGAACAATCGTGGTTTTCTTCAATTCTTAGCTGTTTGTTCAGCTCACCAGCAACAGTTTCTTTTACGGACAGCCAGTCCACAACAACTAGATGCATTAGTCCAAGTCTTACACAAGTGAATCCTTGTACAAGAGGGTGATGGTTTTATTCAAGACCTATTGGTACCTGCTGTTACAAGCCTAGGATTTTTGATGCTATAAAAGAGGAAACAAAACTATAAGTTACTCATTTTAAGCTAAGTCTGCCACGAGTACTCATCAAAATGAAGAGAAAGATAGATTTGGTTGAAGAAGAACACGAGAGTGAACATGAAGAAAGCGAAAGTTCTGGTGATGAAAGCGAGGATGAAGAACCAAGAATAAAATATGTTTTGAGTCCTCTTTCCCAAGCAGTGTCGGAAAAGCGTGCTTCTGATTTGCTGCATAGTATGGCCGCTTCCAAAGATATTCTTTTCTGGACTCCTAGCGGACAATTACTTCGAAATAGACCCACTATTCCCGTCACAAACACCGCCGAGCTAGTTAAGTATGTGTTACTCCCTCATAACAATGAGGTTATCAAGCCTCGTGCGCTGAATACGTTTCTAGATGGACTTGCAGAGTTAGGAATTGATAAAGGTTTAATCAAGAACAAAAAGTTGTTAAGTGATTTAATAGAAAAGGAAAGAGGCTACCGAAATGTAGAAAATACTTCCGATAACGAGAGTAATAATGAGGAGAGTTCATCGGATATTGAAAATCAGGAGGAGGAGGAGGAACTGGTTTCTGAGAATGGCGTTAAAGCTGAAGGCACCCAAGAGAGCGACAACGACACTGAAAACGATAGTGAGGAAACAGAAAGTAGTAGCCCTGAAACGTCCACCACTTTTCACTCTAAAAGTCCCTGTGAACATTGCGAAAACTCTAATGTGTACTCTACATTGATCACGAAATGTCCTAAATGCTTTTGGTACGATTACTACAAGATTTGTCCTATATGCGATGACCAGATCCCCGAGGAGAGAAATTATCAAAGAGAGCTTTCTTCGGTGTCACGATTGTGGAGCAATCACACACAAAAACGCCAAGACGTTGGAAACCAATTTTTATTCACCTTCTAAAGAGGAGAACGAAGAAGAGGACCAATTTCCATCTCTTTCTTTTTTCGTCACTGGTTTTCAATAAAGTTTTTAAAACTAATATATAGATTTAGCCAGGGCTAAAAGCGAAGCTCCCGTTAATAAATTCATAATTTAAATCAAACAATAAACTTGTAATCCACAGATCAGGGCACATTCATTTGACTTTTGAGGCAAAGGCAGAGTGATTTTAGAGAAAAATCAGAATTTGACCGTCCAAGAGTGAAACAAATTTTACATCAAGTTATTTGTACACCGAAAAATAGCAATCATGGTCGATCACAGTAGATTAGGCCTCGAAAACAAATAGACCTATTCGTGTATTGTATTTGCATTAGCTGTAGCATCAAATAATCTGGCATTCACCAGTCTCTCCAACATTGCTCCGTTAGAGAGACTATGGATAATTGGACAACCCCGAAATATAATTTTAAGAAACACATGCGCCACGATAGTCCTTGGTGGCAGCCAATTTACACGTTGCATTCCTCTGTTTAAAAGAGAGGCCAAAATAAAAATCAGGCCGGATTTTTGTGTTCGACAAGTTTAGTTTACTACTAAATCTTGGCGACGAATCTGGTGGCGTGTAAACCAGCCTTTTAAACATACGTTTTCTCATCACGTCTCAGGTAAACAGTACACAGACCTCGGACAGAGTTTGTTCTTTTTTGCCCTATTTAAGAGCCATTTTCTGAGAAAATCGAGAATCGCAAGACACTCGTCAAAAAATCGAATTTTTTATTATTTTGCCAAAACATCCCTTTTAGTGACCTAATTTAAGGAAAAATAGTTTTGGGTTCAAACGATTCATTTTAAAGGAGAAATTAAAAAAAGTTTGAAAAATCGATTTTATTCCTGTTTTTCGAACAAAACACGGCAGGATGCAATGGCAACTTCGAGAGAAGGGTGAACGCGTGAGAAACATTCCCTGACATTGAAACTTCCCCGAATTATTATTTTGTTCTTACTCTTGAAAACCTTAAAAGAAAATTTGAAAAACAATGTCTTATATTTTTATAATCGACAAGTCTAAAGAGGTCATATTTGTGACGTTGGACATGCTAGAAAACGAAGGCCAACTTTGACTATTAAAAAAGGCCTCTGGTATATGCTGCTTGATCATAAAATCAATATAAAATGGAACCTTGGCTTTTGTACTAACTTACTGGAAAGTTTTAGCTCTGGAAATCAAATACCATCCTGACATCAAAGCAAGCGGTGAGAGCAATTGAATTGGGAAAGTTATGCAAATTAGACGGCTTGCGGACGGTTGTCAAACTAAAAGAAAGGTTTTACATGAAAGGATTACTCACCATTGCTTGTAACACGTTTTTACGGCAAGGAAAGTCATTTCCAACTTCTGTTGCGTCGATTTGAGTCACAAAATCCATAATTTTAAGCCAAAAGGTCCAAAAGACAAACGTACGTTTGCTCAGCGACTGCACCAGAATCCGGCCGTGAATCGAAATAAAGTCACAACACGTCACTGCGGTCCTTTGGAAGCAAGAGTTGCAAGAGTTTTTACTTCAGTCAGGAGGCCAAAAGATTGAAAATTCATCGCAAACTAATGACTTCGATTTTGAAAACCTTTCATCACTTCAATCGTTCGTCGGCTGATAATAAACATCGCACAAGATCGTATGACCTTTGGCGTGTGACCGGAAATCGGTCACACGCTTATATGACGTTAGCATACTGTCACGAATTTTAATACGATTTTTCACGTTTGCTTTCGACAAAAAATAGACTCATCGAAATAAAATCAGGCCTGCTTTATTTGCTTGTTTGTTTTTAAATTTCTTTTATAGCCTGCAGAACTTGTTCCCCATGCATCGCGCGTGTCTCGCACCCCCAGTCCGCTTCGCAGTGCTAGCATGAAAAGCGCAAAAAACTGAAATTGACTCCTGTTCTGCAGTTGATTTCTTTTATAGATACCTTCTAGGCATTGACAGGCTGTGAAAAAAGTGTATTTTTTTTTTATTATTTTTTTGAAGTGCTACATCATTTCCTATAAATTTCAAACGTGACTGCTAAAAGACTGTTTGGAACCCATGGATGGAGAAAAGCTGTGCCGGAGAGAAGGTCAACCTCCCAGCCGAGCCAACTTTTGCGAGCGTTTGTATGAGGAACTGACCACTTTGTCCGAGTCAACAGTGCTGGCGCATGCTGTCTTTGTCTAGCCTTGACCGTGTCGTCCCAGCTAGCTGGGCGAGCCAAAGTGAAGAAATATGAGCCGGGCTAGAAGGGTGAGGCCACCACTACCGGCTCAGTGGAGGGCTGACTTCCGGAAGCCCTCAACCCCGCCCACTACTGGTAGTAAGGCGTCTATCCGAACCAACCTTTTGTTTCTCATGTAAATGGTTTACCAAGTTTTGTAAGGAAATGGATGAAAAGTTGGCTCGCCCAGGGTAGCTTGGGAGGTGAGTAAACACCAGATAACCCCAATAATAAGCACAAACTTTGATTGTCAGTTAGATGTCCACTATTTTAAGTAAGCGACCTGGCATGTGATTGTCGCATCCATGCCCCCTTCCAGATCCCCTTTATTATCGGTAAGCCTCTGATAGGTCAAAGTAATACAGTCGTACCTCCAGTAAGCGACCACCAAAAATGCAAAGACTTAATGGTTTCTAACGGGAGGTGGCCGTTTAGAAGAATCGCACCACATGGGGTCTATTCCGAGAAGAGGTCCGGGCACTTTCTATTAAATGGCGGTGTAACAAATTCCTGGCAAAATATTATCTTTTACCTCTTTTGAAAAATACAGCTTTTAAATCATGCTCAATTTAAAGAGGGATTCAGGTGAGTGAGATATAGAATAGTCTAGAATCACAACAGAATCTTCACTTTGTTGGCTACATCTACTAAGTTAGGATATGTGTAGTTCCACGATGTCACTAAAGGTCTTTATATTTTCCAAGGAACATAGTGCACACAGCAAAAATAGAGAGCAGAGAATGCGTCAACTGGTCGCTTATGGAAAACAATTAACCGTGACGCCAAAAAGTGGTCGCAGTCACTTACAGAAGGTCGTTTACTGGAGGTTCCAAATATAAGGCTTTGAATGGGAAAATTTGGTCTTTTGGATTGGCGGTCGCACATGGAGGTTCGACTGTGTTAGGTCTATTAGAGTATGAGCCACCATCACCTCACTGTGAGTGACGAGTGCCAGGAACGTATAGTATACACTCCCTTAGGATGCACAGAATCGTTGTTTTGAGGTCCCGTTTAGCGAAATGGATCATTCAAGGGAGGTGCTGAAGTCCCTTAGTGAAATTTATAAGGTTTATGGGTTTTTTAGTGCAAGGCGAAACACAATATTTTAGGGCCCTGTTATTCAAACGTTGAACAACAGGAAATCACTATCAAGCAAATAAGAAGAAGCAATTGCGTTACTTATTGGATATAGATTTATCCAGGGGAAAGCGTTAGTCCCGGGGGCGTTAGTCAACTTTTCGAACATACAGCCCCTAAGTCACTCTCCTCCGAAGACTTACCCTGGGCGACCAGGATAGGGGAATATAATACTCGACCTTCCTTGCATCATCGCGAGAGCCTATAGCCTTCACTTTCTTTTGGCTCGTCCTATAATCCTACCCAACGTTCGTGGGACAGGAAAGTCTGCGTGCGAGGCTTGGGAATCTAGGGAGACTATGGTGGCATGGTGCAAATAGCCGGGATGAGCTACTTTGTCCACACGAACCAAGAGGATTGTGTCTGCTAGAAGAAATCAGATGTAGCTTTCTGTGATAAGTAATATTCCAACAGTATAGGATCATAGTTTGAAGCCATTTCACAATCACTAGTTTCCGCCCACCTCTACCGGCGAGTTGTGGACAAAAGCAGCTGATAGCTGTATACGAACCTTTTTTCCACAAAATGGTTTCTGGGTTTTCGTATTCGACAGTGTCATGTATTGATTTTTTTAAATCTTAATCGAGGTCTTTTTTATTATGTACTGTCTATCTGACTGACTGTTTCTTTGTGTTTTTTTTTTTTGGTAATAACAGGTTTCATAATTTGGTCGCGGTTGGGGTTATAGGCTCCTGATCGTGAGCAAATAGCGAAAACCAAAGTAAACTATAGCGTTGAATCCGTTGGCCACGGAGAATTGGTATTATTCTGCAAGTTCTTTACTACAGCAAGAGAGTATGCTCCCTTGACTACGGGACATTGGGCCGGGGGAACTTAGTATTTTGACCCGGCATAGGGGAGGAGGGGAGGGGGAGGGGGTACCCTGGCCAGATTCCAAGTCACGGGGATGATCGAAGTATGTTTTTTTCTTGGTTTGAAAGTATTTTGAACAAAAAAAATTTTTTTTTAGCTGTGGCTTTACTTAAATATTCAAAATATTCGTTCTTTTTTGGTCTTGATTCTCGCTTCCACGGGTCACTCACGACACTTGGAATCCGAGGTACCCCTCCTGTTTAGTACTTCGAAGGCAAAAAAGCTGTTTCCAAGCCTAGTAGGTAAATAAAAGAAAAATAAATATGCATGGCTGTTTCTACTGCGATGAGGGGAGTTCTTGTCAAAAAATGTGAAAACTGTATTAAAATTGCTGACAACAGCTACGAAAATTTCGTGACAGCATGCTGACGTGACTGAAGCGTGTGACCAATTTCCGGTCACACGCCAAAGGTCATACGATCTTGTGCGATGTTTATTATCAGCCGACGAACGATTGAAGTGATGAAAGGTTTTCAAAATCGAAGTCATTTATAGTTTGCGATGAGTTTTTATTCCTTTTGCCTCCTGACTGAAGTAAAAACTCTTGTAACTCTTGCTTCGACGCGTTGGGACTTTCGATTCACGGCCGGATTCGGACGCAGTTGCTTAGCAAACGTACGTTTGTCTTTTGGCTAAAAATTATTTATTTTGTGACTCAAAACGACGCAAAAGAAGTTGAAAATAACTTTCCTTGCCGTAAAAACGTGTTACAAGCAATGGTGAGTAATCCTTTCATCTAAAACCTTTCTTTTTAGTTTGACAACCGTCCGCAAGCCGTCTAATTTGCATAAATTTCCCAATTCAATTGCTCTCACCGCTTGCTTTGGTGTCAGGATGGTATTTGATTTCCAGAGCTAAAACTTTCCAGTAAGTTAGTACAAAAGCCAAGGTTCCATTTTATATTGATTTTATGATCAAATGGCATATACCAGAGGCCTTTTTTAATAGTCAAAGTTGGCCTTCATTTTCTAGCACGTCTAACGTCACAAATATGACCTCTTTACACTTGTCGATTATAAAAATGTAAAGCATTGTTTATCAAATTTTCTTTTAGGATTTTCAAGAGTAAGAACAAAATAATAATTCGGTGAAGTTTCAATGTCAGGGAATGTTTCTTACGCGTTCACCCTTCTCTCGAAGTTGCCATTGCATCCAGCCGTGTTTTGTGCGAAAAAGGAGCATAAAATCGATTTTTCAAACTTTTCCTAATTTCTCCTTTAAAATGAATCGTTTGAACCCAAAACTATTTTTCCTTAAATAAGGTCACTAAAAGGGATGTTTTGGCAAAATAAAAAAAAATTCGAGTTTTTGACCAGTGTCGTGCGATTCTCGATTTTCTCAGATAATGGCTCTTAAACCTATAATTCTGCAGTTTTTCACAATTTTGGAAGAGAATTTGCACTCATTCAATATCCACGACGATCAAAGCACGCGCTTCCTTTGCACAACAAATTATAGCATGGAATTATAAAACGTTTTCTGTTAGAAAAATCTGGTCCTATGTGATATGCGGGGTAATAATTATGGGGTTTTAATGAAAACGATAAAAAAAAATTCCCAAAATCACTTTTCGGCCAGCCGGACGGGTTCTCACTTTTGACAGGCACCAAATTTGCAGTGCGATTAATAGGGTTACCATTTACGCTTCAACATGATAGAGAAGTTGTTATGTTTAGGTTTTATTTCCCTTTATTCATTAAACTGTGAATGATTTTGTTATGTGTAATCTTTAAAAGCGAGTGATATTTACGCGCGGCGTTTTGAGTATTCCTACATGCGATGTTTATGTTCGACTGGAAACAACCGGTGCAGCGATGAAAATTGCGAGAGGGGCTACTAACAATCAATAAAATGAGTTTAATTCGGTGAAACATGTACAGAGACAATAATTTTCATTCACGAAGAGAAGTATTGATAGTAAAGTGTCTCAGAAAATCATGAGTCAGGCAAGCATAAGCTTATTTATGTTTTAAGCCGGCTTCCCGGTGTTCGCTCTTTTTCAAGATGAACTCGAGGCAAGAAAATCGCTCAGAGCTTTCTGTTTACAGCCAAAGTCGTAAGGGATGCACCATTAGAAATGTGAAGGGGGGGGGAGTCCAAAAACAAAAAAAAAAATCCTGCAAAACAAAATTTTAAGAAAAAAAAATCCTGCATTGCAACGAAACCAGAAAAAAATATCCTGCTTGGATAACCAATGTGACTGCGACAATATATTACACAGTCTGAAAAATAAATCTGTGATCTGTAACAGGAAATCCCCTTCCCCCAACTTCCTAAATTCATGTCAAACTACATTTCAGGCAGAAAAAACAATTTCTACTGGCTAAATAGAGATTTCAATTTGAACCAACTCTGATGCCCTTGATCTCTATAGCTGCCATAGTATTAAATTAAGAGACTGTGGTGATAATTGTTTAACTTTATAAATTAAATAAACTTTTTATTGAAATACTTTTGTTTTAATGGGATTAAAGTGAGATTGTGTTAACAACGTCAATAGTTCCACTTGCACGCAAGTTTATGGAGTTGGTGTTGTACAATATGCGTTGCTACTTGAATCCATAAAGTTTACAGCTATAAACAAAAGTAGATGTCCCAAAAACACCAATCACACTGCAGATCCCGCTGCATTTAAAAGTATTAAGAATATTATTTACCCAAACTAACACAAAATATTTTGAATGCTTTGCAAAACCATAAATAGAAATGGTGCATTCTAATAAAAACTTGAACCTAAACATATGGGCCACAGACATATGGTAGGATTTAGAGGAAATGTTCTTCAAGTTCTTCCTCTGTATCCCAGTCCTCGCCTGATGAAGACTGACATGCTGGCTGCAGTTTTACTTCTTCTTTTTCTTCTTCTTCTTCTTCTTCTTCTTCTTCTTCTTCTTCTTCTTCTTCTTCTTCTTCTTCTTCTTCTTCTTCTTCCTTTTCTTTCTGTTTTTCTGTCTCTTGTCTTCCCTCAGGTTCTTTCTCTGTGTTCCAGTCCTTGCATGATAAGGACTGAGATGCTTGCTTTCCTTCTTTCTGTTTCTCTGTTTCTTGTCTTCCCTCAGGTTCTTTCTCTGTGTTCCAGTCCTCGCCTGCTTGAAATTTCTTCTTTTGTTTTTCTTTATTTTCCTTTAGAGCATTCTTCTTCCTCTTTCTTCGCAATACTTGCTGGCCCACACTACTCCCAAAGCTTGAGCGATACTTCTCTACAATATCTTGGTATTCTGTGCAAATCTTGGTAACTTCTTCAACCACTTTCTCTGCCCGTGGTATCAGTTCTTGGTAGAACTGATTTGTCTCTTTCAAGCCTGTAATAAAATTTAAAATATAGGGACTAATATTTTTTTCTTTATTATGACTATTGTGCTCTAGTCCTGGGGGTACCCCTCAGAACATTCTCAAAGCTGACCCTATCTCATGGACCAAAATATTTGATATCCCAAAATCATATTCAAACTTGACCTCCATTAAAAAATCTGTACCCTATTTGAGACTTGGGCACTTTGTTGGCGTTATACATACGAAAGGCTTCATGGTCACATGCAATGACTTTTGAATGGGGATGGGGGAGCTACTTCTGTTTCCCCTTTTCCAGCTTTCATACAAATATTATTTTCCCACAAATGCGATGAGTCATTCAACAAATAAGAGATGAAAGAAATGGAGGTTTCTTAATGCATGATTACAATATATCTGCAGCGGAACCAAAACAATGTATAAACGAAGTGCCGCCCAAAGGACCAGGAAAATGTGTTTTTCAACTGTGGTTCTGTTTCATAAATTTTTTGCAACTAAAATATTTGGCCAGGCTGAAGAACGTTGTTCTTCATATCAGGGACTTCTTCACCCACACTTTTTTGGGGATTTGTTATACCGAGGTTCCACTGTATATCAAAAGTGTAACATGTGGGTGCAGTATTTTTAATATTAAATTCTAACCTTCCCTAATCTGCTTTCCAGTTGAGCCATCCTTTAAGGTAGCATCCATTTCTTGTTTACACTTCATCATTTTCGCTTTTGCCATTCCAAGGGCATCCTCGCAACCTTCAACAAACTTGCAAAGATGTTCATAGTGCGAATGTCGTGGTGCTGATGAACTGCTCTTTAGTGCAACAATTTGCGGGTATTTCAATTCATTTATTTGTAGCAAGCCATAAACACTTTGTTTCTTGTAATATGGTGTCCACTGATCAATAACTGGGCTCTTGGCAAAGGCAATCAAAAGATCATTGCGTTTTGCACGCTCTTTCCTGCACCAGAGTTCACATTCCCTCATTGTATTTGAGTATTTCAAGCGTTCTGCAGCCATTGTCAGTACAAACGAATTTGAAAACATCTGGGCCGGATTTAGAGGCTTTTCATAGTACAGATTTTTAAACTGACGTTTCAAAGAATTAGTACTTACGAGTACGTTTCAAGGCCATCTCTTGTTTGAAAAAAGCCTTTCATCCCCTTTGGCAAAGCTACAACAGTTGAACTGCTTGATGGTCTGAAGGCTGTTGGTGAAACTTTCTCTTGTAGGGATGACTTTCGCGCCTGCTGTTGTTTGTATTCTCCATACATGCGAGTCAGTCGCCTAAATTCGATGTGTGACAATCGTAGTGCCAAGGCATCTTCCTCCTGAATATCTTCAAGGTGGCCTATCTCACTAATACCCATCGTTGTAAAGGCTTGGTAATATTTTTCCAAAGAACAACTCTTCAACCACTCAAGAAAATAGCTTTTTCCCTCTTTGCCCGGACTGGAGGTATTCTCCACCATTTTGTTTTGGAGAAAACACTGGCGCACTGGGCCTGGGGACTATTAAAGGACGACATCCGCTGACCAATAAGTCGGTATTTCAAGATGGCTGCCAACTTCGGTGTGGCTAAAAAAAGCACCAAGAATTCAAAAAGGCTGTGGGTTTAAAGCATGTTTCTGTGTCTCTTTGTAATACGAGTGCAGAGCAAAGACATTTAACATTAGAGGAATCAATAGCAACCACTACTAAATCTGCAAGAGATGCGCAGAATATCCTTGCACTTTCGCGCCTGTTGGATGAACTGATAGCCAGGTCTTGCATGCGTTTCCAGGAAGCATTTGAAGAATTTGCTGCCATCACGGAAACAATTGATAAGGTAAAAAGCTCGCCAACAGTTCAAAGATAGAATTCTATCGAAACATGGTCTACCAGTTATCATTGTGAGTAATGCTGGGCAAATGTTCGTCATGCTTTTAGAGATGCCCTTAAACAATATTAAACTGTGCTGCAGTCTAGATCGTGTCCTTGACGCTGCAAGAGAGGACTCATCTTGTAACAGTTTTCCAAATGCATTAGCCGCGTCCATTCCAACTCTAATGAAACTGATGTCAAATGCGAGAGATCGGGCGATTTTAACATACGTCCTTGCAAACATTTTCTCACCAACAACACTGTCTTTGGTGCTTGGGATGCAGCAACAACGACTGAAAAATATCGTGGACGAGGTTACCCGTTTTTCAAGTAATGTAGAAGCTCAAGAGAGAAACGGGGAAATCGAAGCAGAGAGACATCTTGACAAAGTTATCACTAAAATAGAAAAAGACTTGGAGAACAGCGAGAGTTTACTGAAACGGAAGAGAGCAAGGTTAGATGAGGCGGAAATTGAAAGTAGAGAGTTTGATATAGGAGTAAAGAGGGCAAGGCTAGAAAGTCTTTACGAAAAACCAGTGAAAGTCAAGAAAAGAATTTCAAAGAGGATCTTTTCCACATGGAAAGGTACTTTGATGTCACAAAAGGGCAAGGGCAAGGGAGTGTACAGTATCGATCGTGGTGCAGAGCAAGCAATAAGTGAATTACTTCATGAACAGTTGAAGGCCCACAGAAGGAGATGGGGTGAGGAGGACACAGGCTATCTTGATTATGAAAAGAGGATCCAGTCTAAAGAGATGCGTCAGATTGCAAATCAGTACCTAGTAAAGCATGGAAAGAAGCCAGTAAAGAGCAAAGCAACAGTACGATCATGGGGTAAATGCAGGAACAAGCGCTACCGTCAAGCGCAGCAACACAGAGGCTGCAATCTTTGGGCCCATCTTCGTACACAAAAGAAACATCGTGAAAGGCATGTCAATGTACATTATAATCGAGCCCACATAAAAAATTACACGCGATTTGCATTTGGAACACATGATGGAGCTGACAAGAAGGGACTTGTGATAAGGCGAGCAATAGACGACAAAGCATATGTCCGGTGTGGAACCTCAGAAGGTTTTTCTAGGCCACTACACACTCCCACTCAGCTGACTGGAGATGACAATCAGGTGACACTTCCATCATCAGATTATCCTGACACTGTTGGATATGTCAGTCCAGGGTGGTCCTTATGGTGAACAACATGAAGGAATTACAACATAAAGGACGTGACAAATTTGTACCCACTGATTTGTCAATTGGTGTCATTTGCAAACCGAAGCATGTCTACCCAAGCACAGCTACAAATTGGGCCAATGATTTGTTTTCCATCCGATATACCTTCAGAAGTGAACACGAAGTGCCCATGAATTCAGTGGCTGATGCGAATGCCAATTTCCTACCAGATGAAGCTTTGCCTTATCTTATTGGCGTAAGAGACTCAATATTTCAGTTTGAATTGATGTCATTGAAAGATGACTATGAACGAGTGGTCGAAGGAGGAGATCATCTGTCCAGAGAACAGCTCCGAGTTACAGTCCTTCTTAAAAGACTTGATATATGCATGACATCTGTTGCAGCCTACGAAAGATATCCCTTGACTGGCAAATTAACAAAAGATTTGGAGCTGCTGAAAGAACAACTGGAGAAGATAGGAGGTGAGAGGGGGGCTTAATAGAGGATTTAAAGTTATTTGATTTTGAATGGTCACCTGATTTTTATGATACAACATTCTGAAACATGTTTTTAAAACCTTTTCTGTTTGAATTCCCATTGCGTCATTCTGCTATAATATGAAAACGGCACTATACCATTTTATAGTGACTGACTTTATAGCGTGTAATGTTCACCTGATTCAAAGCCCTGTATATGTATACAGTAAATGTGTGCCCTACAAGTTAAAAAAAAATCATAATAGCATAAACATGTATAAACTTGATGCACTGGTTTGGTTCTATAGATCAAAGGCTCTTTAATAGTTGATAAATTAATTCCATTTGACATAATCCCTGTTCTGTTTAAGCAATGCTCTCGGATAACAAGGGACAGGACTACTGTGATATCAGTAGTTACTATGAAAGTGCCTGCGAACTGTGCAGGGGGATTCGACACAGACTGGAGGAAAATGGTCTTCCAAATCACAGGTTAGAAGTGAATTAATATTGTAAATTTGAAATAACTGAACATATTGTGAACAATTTTGTCACTGAAACTCCATACAATACATTGTATGATATAAACAGCCAACTCTGTGCAGCGGACTTTATTTTTGTCCCAACCCACCAGCTTGTAAACTGCTACTTTGAAACCAAGAGCTGTTCCTACAATGACCACTTTTAACATTGGCCTGTACATTCAGTATCAGGCATGGCCGTTTTAAAGCAGTTTGACTGTGTTGCATTAATATTATGTGCCACTGACCTGTTAGATTTATTATGCATTTCATTTTTGTTTTATAGCATTTCGTCTGTTGTTTGATTCTTTTCTCTCCTATATAAAAAAAGGATTGGCTTGAGTTTTATAATGTATCTGTTTTTATAGGCCATTTGATATTCAGACCTCTGATGCTGGCCCGGGAGTTGCGAGTCATGAGCAAATGACACAACTTCGAATGGCAGAGTACTTCATGATAAATTGCCTTGATTTACAGAGCAGATTCCATTACGCCCCCAATGACTCTGCATCACATATAGCTGAAAAGGTAATGCGTTCTCTAAATGAATGCCTTGGAGATGGGAGGTCCATACCTGTCCCCTTTCTGCCTTTATGTGATGATCAGGGAAGAATCAAACTAAAGGATATCAGCAATGAACAGCTAAAAACCTGCAAGCTGAAAAGGAAAGAGACACTGCAATAGAATGTGCACGAGTCATTACGAATCGCTTTGATGGAAAAAGTTCTATGGGCACATCTATTCATGCAAGCACCCCTTGTTATGAAAGCCACTTGCAGTTTTTTTTTGACGAAAAGTTTATGATCAAATGTGCAAGTGCGAGTTCCGAAACTGTACTTGAGAAGTGTGCTGGGAAGGAGTACTACAAGTTTGTCAGGGACTTCTTTCGTGACCATTATTTCCTGTTTGATAATGGGTTTGAGGGGATCAGAAATGGCTGTCGGAATAGTGGCAAGGTCTGCGAATATCATGCGAGGTATGAAAATCCATCTCTTTTGACAAATGGCTTTAGAGGTGTCCCCGTGACTCGAGTGCAACCACCAGTTCCAGACTACTCCTTCACTGGAGGCGAATTTCACTATGCCTTTCCTCAGCAAATTTCATCAGGAGAATTAACAGCGAAATTTGACCTCAACAAAGATGAGCTGAGGAATGCCGCTACCAGAAAAATAGATGAGTTCTGCCCTCGAGCACAGTTAAACCACTATATGCAATCCTATGGCACACCAGATTTACAAATGGCTGAAGTACATCCACAAGAATCCCTTTCTGTTACCGTAGTAGATAGGAATGATGTGCTTGGAAAAATGTTATCAAATGTTGACTACTTTGTTCAGACATATACTGGGGAAGACCTTAGGACATCAGTGGTGAAGGAAATTAAACGACGCCACAACGCCATGGTCAAGGCATTTATTGTAAAGAAAACCAATGCTAGTACGAGGGCAGCCGAGAAGGCTCGTACATATGATGACTTTGATTGGGAGAAACTAATACAGACAAGTCAACTAACTGGCCTGTACGTTTCACAGCTTGACCTCTATCTGATCAAGAACTTGAAGCTACCAAAATCACAATGCGAGAAGAAGGGGTTCAAAAGAGAAAAAGATTGAAGCGATCAAGAAGCACTACTATGCATCTACTGGTCCTCCAATATCAGGAGCTTCAGTTGGAAGCCCATCAGTCCCACGCACTTCTAACAATAAAAGTCAAGAATTAACTAATACAGTGGTCGTCACATTACCAGATTCACTGAAGAATGAATTTGCCTCAAACATGCTGAATGTTCCTCCTTGGGGTGGAAAGATAAATTTGCCATACATAGGACAAATCACCCTGGTGAACACCTGCCCGATTGACAATTTTCTTACTATTTTTATACATTAATGAAAAACCACAGAAAGGCTTTTCAGGAAATTTCCAGCTCAGTAGAAGTGTATGCAAGTTACCTGATTAAGATTTACAAGTTATTTGACAGAGGTAATTTTGTGGAGGGAAATTAGAGTGGCTCAAGCTGTTTCCAGGACGCTTTCAAACAACACCACTAATAGACCTGTGGGGAAATGAGGAAGACCTCTTTGTGTCTAGACTTTATTCATCTTCTCAGACAACCTTCATCAGTACATGTGACTCTTCAGCCTGCCCTGTTAGAGTGAAGCAGTGTCATGCTAATGCAATAGCTTTGAGGTATGTTATTTAAAGTAAATTCTCTGATCTTAATTTGATATTAAATCAAGATTTTCAAGGCAAAAGTAATCACTTCACCATCATGCTTACGAAATTTACTTTGTGCTTGTGTGTGAAATGTGTGTGGGTATGTATTAATATATTACATCTTGAACCAAACCAGAAAATTCATTTTCTTTTGGGCATCCATTAATGTAATATTTTATTTCTGTTTTTTATTACCCAGAGTATACATACATATACATTCAAATTGAGTGAGAAATATCCGCGTTTTTTATTGTTGTATCAATAGCCATGTAGGATTTCCAGTACCTGCATTTCTTGAAGAATCATTGCGGCAGTGGATGAACACAGACCAGCAACAGTCCACGTGTGGACTTACGATGCATCATGTTCCCCCTGGAGCAAACTACTTCATTTCCAACTGCTATGTGCAAGATCCAGGCACAGGCCAACTCATGTATGTCTTTCATTTTTACATGTACATATCTGTCACGTTACTTGTTTTATAAACTTTACCTGGTTCTTTTTTTTCCCTGCTTTTCCAATGCTTCTTATGTACAGTGATTGCACACTTTCCAGCTACAATTACATGTATACTAATTGTCAACTATTACGTCATATTTTAGTCAGACCCCGAAAGCATATTGTGGTGGCTTGAGGAGCAACACAAGGAGGGCATTTGTAAGAGGAAATCCCCCATTCCTACTGTTGTCACTTGACATATTTGCCAGGCAGGGCACCATAACTGATGTCACTCACCTTCCACAGATAATTCAAGTTTCAAGTGACAGGTATGTTTCTGAGGTTGTGACGGACATTGTTGGCCATTTCCTTGTAATAGCCATATGAGACTCACAAGTCATATTTCCAATGAAATAAACTATTTTTACTTTCAAAACCTGTAGTTATTCCCTCTTTGGTCTCACATTTTGGAATGGAAACCACTACAGGGGTGCTGTAACCATTCAAGATCAATGGCACTACTATGATGGAATGTGGGAGCGCCAATGCCAAGGTCATGGCCTCAAGAAGTGTGTCAACAAACCATCCACTCCTGCTGGCTTCTATATTTCACATTCAGTGTATGTCAAGATTTCGCTGCTGTGAGCCTTTCCCTGGAGATTCTTTATACTCAGGTTGGAAGTTCCATGTCCTGTGAACAGTCCCATTTTATTCAAGAAAATATATTTATTTTTATATACATGTATACGTAGCCTCTGTGCACCCTTCCCCCTCTCCTGCCTCAGAGCTTGTTTGAAGCATTGTGTACGGTATATTAAACATTTGCTCCACCAAATATCAATGTTCAAGTTTTTGATGTGCAGAGACTTGGAACGGAAAATGTACATGTACAATAAAAGGGGACTGTTCAACTATTATTCCTAGAAATGTACAAACTTCTCATTCAAAGCGAGGACACAACATACATTTCACAAATTACTATTTTAAAGGCTATGTTCTATTTGTATTAACTCTTTTTGGTTGGTTGGAATTTTTGTTTACTTTGGGTAAAACACCGTTTGATCTGCTTGTGTAGCTGTTTCAACTGCCACTGAACTCAGTTCGGACGTTTGAACGTATAGATTACTTCATGGGCAGCGCGGGCGTACGGTATTTACGCACGAGTTGGTTCGCATCAGAAATTGAACGAGCAAGGCTTTGCGAGTGAGATCCAGAAAGCGAGAGAGATTTATCTGACATACAATGCGAAAAAAGTCCATGTCTAACACTGCACGTGTTTAGGTGTCCTATTACATTATGTACTAAACATCTGTGACTGGACGAAACGCTTTTTTTTTCACGTGTGTGAAAGTCGTTTCGCCATTCTGATTGGCTGCGAACCCTGAACAGGGTTTTCACACGCCAAATTTCAATAGAAAATCTCAATTAGTATGAAAAAATATACTTAAAACAAACGTGTTCTGTTGGAACACTACAACAAAAAACATTTGCGCGGTTGAAACAGTCTAGTAAAACAAGACCAAAAGAGGGCATAGTCATTTTGGAAAAAAAAAATCGTGCAAGGGTTTGAAGGTTGAAAAAAAAATCCTGCACTCCTGCTGGTTGTGAAAAAAATAACATGCCTTTCCAGAAAGTCCTACCCCCCCCTTCACATTTCTAATGGTGCATCCCTAAGTAAATAATCTTCGGGACCTTTTCTTTGAATTTGCGGGCCAAAAAATGTCTAAAGGCTTTTTAAACCTGATACTATTGTAGGTTAGATCATTGCTCGTGTTTTAATTTAAGCCGCATAAACCATACGCTCGAAAAAAAAAACAAACATCAAAGACAATAATGGCTCAAGCTTACCAGTCGAGATGCTGCTTCTGAAGGTCATCAAGTGTTCCAGAATCGCTTGAGACTTTTCAACCTTCTTACGCCTCAAGCAAGGGCAAGCGAGTAAGCTCATTTCTGAAAACGATGCCATCCGAAATCGGATTTCCAATGACTTTGACAAGCGGTGCATTTGTCAACAAAAAGCGCAATAAACAAACCAGCCACGAATTACAGAACAATCTTGATAGCAGCTGTTTTTCATTTTGTACACCAAGTAGAAAAAGACAGTTTAAAACATCACAAGATGAGACAAAACTCTCTCAGCTCCAGCTATCAGTAAGCAAGTTTCCAGACGCTGCAAAAATTTTCCGCATAAACTCACCTGTCAAATTTTGACCAATCACAACATAAAAGTTGGACGTAGAGCGTGATCAACGCGTGACAGTGAGAAAAGTCAGAAGCGATTGCCTTCCCTGCATGTAAATGTAAAAGCCGGTTGAATTTTCGTGTCCGAGATCAGTTCGAAATCAACATTTTAAAAGAGTGGCTCTTGAAACACGACTTATTTCATATGCACTTTAAAAAAATTGAACTTGAGCCTGCGATCATTTGAAAAGTAGCAACTTGTCAGCGAATACCTTCAAAATATTACTCGAACTCAGAGGGTCGATACCTGAGCCCGCGATACGGTCAGGCGATACTGGTCAGCAGAAACACTGTTTTGACAGCTGTCAATTAATCAAAACATGGATGTACAATATCAGGTTGCAGGCTCCCAAACTAGCTAGAAAGTGTGAGATTAAACATTGGTATGCCTGTGGTGCGGACGGACGGAAGGTCGGGTGGTCGGTGTACGGTCACGTGATTGCCGAATTTTCTAGGATGGATAGATTTCCTATAAAGCTATGGGGCTTCGAATTGAGCCCGTGATCAAATAAAATATCAGCGCAAAACTTTAAACACTACGTGACCTCAATAGATAGAAAAATGAGCCCGCGATCCACTCAGGTGATGATGGTCAGCGTATACTCTAGTTTGACAGCTGTCAATTAACCTTCATTAGAATGGCGAATATTCGGATTAACAGACTACGAGTGTGAGTAGGACATTTCCGTCCGGCATGTAGTGGAAAATGCCAGATCGTGTACCTGAGCGAACCTGAGCCCTCGTTATCAGTTTTCTGAAAGCGGTCTGCACATGTCCCATTTTGACAGCTGTCAATTGTCCTTAATTTGGCTTGCCAATGTAACTTTAAACGACTGTCACCCAACTGACAGCCTTGCCCGCCGTAGTTTCGTTTTTATTTTGAATTGGTAAGTGTGACATATTATATCAGCTTATATATAGGGGCAAAACCACTAGCCTTTTATCTGAGCCCGCGAGACGGTCATGTGATAATTGTCAGCGGATGTCTGATTTTGACAGCTGTCAATCTAATCGTACTCATACGGATGGCTTACATAACGGAGAGGCTAGTCAAGTTGTGCAAGATCTATTGTGACATTTGACATCGGCTTTCATGAAGTGTGTGTACGGACGGGCGTACGCTACGTCATAACCAAATTTTCTGGGATGGATAGTTTACCAAATTTTCTTACCCATGGTGCTCCGCTGCGCGCGCGCTTCGCGCGCGCGGGAGCTCCGCTATTAATCAATTTATTTGTCGCGTTTTATAATTTATCTCTGTTAAGTTATTTAAAATTGTTTATAGCGGGGCTCCCACGCGCGCTTCGCGCGCGTGGGACAGAGCCCCATACCCATAGATTATGGTCAACCTCTTTTCTTTTGGTTGTACGGGTGCGGATTGTACGGGTGGGGTAGGGGAGACTATCAAAAGGAAGGGAGGGGTGTCTCAGGCGTGTCTTGCCAAGTCCACATCTTTTACATTGGACATTCAGAATATGGTCAATTGACAGCTGTCAAAACAGGATAGCCACTGTCCAGTATCCCAAGACCATATCGCGGGCTCATGTGTCAGCTCATTGAGGTGACGTGATTTATTTAGAAGCTGTCCGCTGACCAGTTAATTATTTTACTAGATCGCGATCAATGTTCAGTCTCATACTTTCTAGCTAGTTTGGAATCGGAGCACAGGAAAACTGATACACGTCAATATTGTGATCCATTGACAGCTGTCAAAACAAGGTATCCGCTGACCAGCATCACTTGGCTGTATCGCGGGCTCAGGTGTCAACCCATCGAGGTCAAGTGTTTTTTTGAAGTTATCCGCTGACAAGGTACTGGTTTTCTAATCATCGCAGGCTCAAGTTAATTTTGTTAAAAATTCATATGAAATATGTTGTGTTTATGTGCCGCACAATTAAAATTTTGATTTCAAACTGACCTCGGACGCGAAAATTCAGCCAGCTGCTACAGGCAGGGAAGACTGTTGCTTTTGACTTTTCTCGCCATGTTCACTCGTTGTTCACGCTCTCCGTCCAATTTTTATGCTCTGATTGGTCAAAATTTCACAGGTGAGTTCATGCGGAAAATTTATGCAGCATCTTGTTTACTTTGACAGCTGAAGCTGACAGAGTTTTGTGTCAACTTGTGATGTTTTTAACTTTCTTTTTCCACTGGATGTACAAAATGAAATTTAGCTGCTATCAGGAGTCTTCTGTTATTCATGGCTAGTTTGTTTATTGGGTTTTTGGTTTAGTCCGGATGGCATCGTTTTCGTTTTCATCTCCCTTAATGCGTAAGAGGGTTGCAAAGTCTGAAGCGATACTGGCCTTACTTGATACCTTTCAGGAGCTGCATCTCGAGTGGTAAGCCTAAGTAATTATTGTATTTAATGTTTGTTTTTTATTCTTAATTTAACGAAGTCGAGCGTAGTTTATGCGGCTATTTTGTTTACTCACGTTTGTAAGATTTGAGACAATGATCTGACCGAGTATCAGGTTTGCTATAAGCTTACAGATCTTTAAAAAGCCTTTAGACATTTTCTCACGGCAAATACTAGGAAAGAAAACGTTTCAAGGAATATTTAGTTATAATTCTGGCTGTAAAAGAAAGGTTTGAGCGATTTCCTTGCCTCGAGTTACGTTCGAGTTCGTCTTTGAAAAAAGCAAACACCGGGAAGCCGGCTTAAAACATAAACTTCAGCTTTAAGCTCGAAGACTCAGGATTGTTAGAGACACTTTAATACTTGTCTTCCTGAATGAAAATTGTCGTCTCTGTATATGTTTCACCGAATCATATTTCTTTTGTTGATTGTTAGTACTCTCTCTTGTAATTTTAATCGTTGTGCCGATTGTTTTGAGTCGTTCAGTAAACAACGCTTCCCGGAGTGCTCAAAATGCCGCGCGTTAAACCGTTTTAAAATAAAAAATAAACATAATAAATTCTTTATTATGTTGGCGCGTAACTCTGTTAATGTTCATTCAAACACTCGCCACTGCTAGCACTGTAAAAGTCAGAACCGGCTGGCCGTATAGCTAGATGATTTTGAAAATTTTTTTAACGGTTTACGGCTAAAACCCACGCGTGCTTCGATCGTCCTGAATAGCAATTTGTATCGCAATATTGTGAAATACTGCATTCTGTTGTCCGAGGTCTGTATGATAAAAACAGTACCTCATAATACTGTTTCACCTCAGATGTGATGTATAAATGATATAAAAGGTTGGTTTACACGCACCCAGATTTGTTGGCAAGATTTTGTAAAATAAACTCGTCGAACGCAAAAAATTCGGCCGGAATTTTTTTTCCAGGCCTAATCAATCTACGGTGATCAAGAGCCATTATGGCTCTAAATAAAAGTGATCGAAGATGATTGCCAGTTTTTGGGTGTACTTATGAGGCTATCAACTCGATGTGAGATTTGGTTCACTCTTGGGCTGTTTGCAAATTATTTTTTGTAAAATCACTTAGCCTTTCCCTGAAAAGTCACACGAATGTGCTCTAAAGTGAACTGAATTGTGGAATACAAGTTTATTGTTTGATTTAAATTATAAATTTATTAATGGGAGCCTCGCTTTTAGCCCTGGCTAAATCTATATATTATAATATTTCTCCGTCAATCAGTTTGCCTCACCTGTTTATTTTTCACAACCTGTCAGCGCTGACCAAATTTGGAAGATACTTAACAATTATTCGCCGAAGGCGAAGTTAATACTGTTGAATAATCCCCGAGACGAAGTCGAGGGGATTATTCAACAATATTAACTGAGCCTGAGGTGACTAATTGTTTTAGTATATTCACACGAAGTGATCTCAACAGAATCTGAAAGGAAACCATTGAAAAACCATTAGTTTGATTGACAGGTGAATTCATGCGTGAACACGAAACCGTAAACAGTGAGCGGAGCGCTTCTATAATATATAACACGTTTAGCATTTCCATCCGTAGAGAGAAAGATATCCTATCTTTTCGTCGCACTAAGTCAATGTAAATGTACTACACAGCATCAGGCAGGGGGAGCACTAACGAAATCGAGTAATATTGAACTATAGATATTTAATCGTTTTTTCCTGTGTATTTGCAACGAGGTCGACCGCAGACTTTAATATGTTTCTTTTTAGACGGCACTGAATTATTTTTCCGAAACCAAAGCCGTACATTTTGTTAGACACCTGTTCTTTATCGGCTACATTGGCTGCCTGTGTCTTTTAGGATTGAATACAAAGTGCTAATTTTAACCTATAAGGCAATACATGGCTATGCTCCACTATATATTTCAGATTTAATTAGAACTGGGGAACGAACAAATTATAATTTAAGATCATCGTCACAGCTACTACTAGACAGAGCATTTCAAGTTGCGTCTCCGGGACTGTGGAACGGTCTCCCAAATGACATTAGAAATGCTAAGACAATGGACGTTTTTAAGTCCTTAGTGAAAACTCATCTTTTTAGGAAAGCGTATGCTTGTTATTTTTTTTTAGAATTTTACATTTTTGACTCTGTGTAATTTTTAGTTTATTTATTAGATATGGACTGGATAGTTTTACTATATTAGATTTATTATTTTATTATTATTTTAATGTAACTTGTAAGGCGCATTTGAATATATTCATATAGATATTTGCGCCGAATAAGTAATAAATTATTATTATTATTTTCATTAATCATATTTCTCGCCCTAGGATGATGACATGATTGCGTGAAAATTGACGCCTCTATCACATTAGATGCGAAATACGATCAGAGATTTTATAGGAAAATCCATTACCTGACGAGAGAATTCTACCTTAAATTGCACGCGAAAAGCGATATCGCACAAATCGCGAAGCGATGAGGGCGATAACGGTTCTAAAGTGCAATTTAACGTGGAATTCACGAGTCAGGTAAGGGATTTTCCTTGAATCGCATAATTGAATAAAAATGAGAAAAAAAAAGAAAACAGCAAAAATATTGTTTGATTTTATCCTGAGCGAGCGCTCCAGAAAGCCATTTCAAAGTCAACTGTCAGAACTGTCATTGCGTTAGCGAATAGGAAGCAAGGTCAGTCGTACACGTTTGAACCTTCGACAACTTTTTTTGTACCTTGTGCTTGTTTTACATTTAACTTTTTGACATGTAAACAAGCTTCACACTAATCGCAAGGATAAGTAGAGGTATTTCACTAGATTTGCAAGTCGTTTATCTATAACATCTTTTTTGAAATCGGTCATTTGCTCGAGAAGGAAATAATTTACACCTTTTACCTCTTCGGTGGCAAAACTGAAAGAAATAAAGTGTCCAATCGAAAGCACTGAAAGGTTGACGTCGCGATTGATATAAGGTAAGCACCTTGAAATGTTTTAGAAATGCTGTTCAAGTTCAGCTCTGTTTTGTACTTTTCTAAGTACCACGATTCAGGACGATTGCAAGCGGCGTACTCTTTTTCGTGTCAGTTTTAGGGGCCATGTCGTCTTTGAAGGTATTTATTTCTTCTTCTGTATATGTGACAATCGACCCTGGTACTTCCTCCGTTATCGCTTCTCTGTTTTGTTTGGTTGAACTTTGGCTTGCCACTTTCTGGGCCGTGTTCACATGCTTTTCTTGTTTTCTCGTTGTCGCGAGCGAAAGAGGTTTTTTATGCCTCTCGTAGAATTTGTAGTTCACTTCAAAACAAGGAAGAACCTCCGGCTCACTTTAAAAACGCTTTTGTTTATTTTAACTCTTCAAAAGGTGACAATGGTTTTGAAAACATTTTAAAATGACATTGTAGAAAACCTTTTTTGCAGTTGTTGTGTTATAATTCGACGATAGTTGTTATGCACATGCGAAACAATATCGCTTAGCCTCGTTTTCAACTCGCAATTCCACACTAAATACCTCGCTTCCTTAACCAATCAGAATGCGAGATTTTACTCAATTATGCGATTCTAAATGGAATAGGGAATGTTGCAGGCTACTGGGTATCCTGCTGAGATAGCTGACTTTTACTCAGCAATCGCAGCTGGATACCGAAGGGTTTTTTTGGTTGCTAAGAAAGTGCGGCTCGTCATGTAGTTATAGCTTGTTAGAGTTGCTATTTTTAAACAGTAAAAGTACTGGAACAAAAGCTAGCTACGTTTGGTAGATCAGCAAAACAGCATTTATGTACGATATTTTACAATATGAATGAAATTGCAAGGCCAGCTGGCTCGAATATTTCGAATTTGCAAGTCAGTAAAACCTTTCATATTCCAAACTCAGCTATTGCCACTATTTAACCAGCAACAGACTTAAATGAACGTTATATTCGCAAATACATATAGGTAAAATGCAATTAAAACGAGGTACATTTGTAAAAAGGTGCTAATGTGAACGGATGCGTGCAGAATAAAAAGAAAGCTTAAATTAAACGACAAACTAAGTTAATAGCCATTATTCTGAAAACTAATGATTTTTTTTCTAAAAGTCAACAATTGAAGTAAAACGTGAAAAGAGTCAGTGGCAAATAGTTTTGACAGCTGTAAACACTGTTGGCTTTTTCTCAGAGAATTATACCCGTTAACGAACACTAAGTAATCGAACAAGTACAATAAAATGGCACGAGCCTTTTTGAGGAGCTAAAACCTCTTTATGCGAATTCAGTATGAATTACTGAAAACAACGTCAAAGCGAACATTTGAAAGCTGTATACGAAATTCGAGGCAAATAAAGAATTCATGGAAAAATCTCTCCTTACATTTTGATCGGATATTTATCAAACCTTTATTAACTTTCCATATATCTTTAAAATCGGGGAGATTCAGAGTCCTGTGACACGCCAGTCGACATCCAAACAACAAATATCATTGTTTTTCTTGGTCTTGTTCAAAGTTTCAGTGCTTGAACATTTCCCATAGGACCGTTTGTTCTTGCTACGTCATGAAGGTGGGCAATTTCCAATGCAAATTTCATCAGTTTGATCTAACTGAACATTTTCCTTTATGATAGCCCCCAACAAGAAACCAAAACAAAACAGCAGCATTTGCTATCAAAAAACGACATTTACAGCTGGAACAAGACTCGCCTTCACCGACGAACCACCATCAGCCAAAAGACACTTTCTGGGGTGTGTGTCCGTTAATTTACTCTATTCAGAACTGACTTGTTTCCACACTGCCTCGGGCATCATTTTAGTAGAAATAGAACACCAACAACTCTTTTGACAGAGTTTATCTTAAAATATAGTGTATTCATTATCATTTTACAGCACCTGCGATTTGGTGAAACTAAACACTAGTTTTAAATACTTGGGTATTTTGTTAATCGTAAATATTTTGGCGACAAGCATAATTGACATAGCGGATTATAATGTATGCATAAACATTATCGACTGTTGTGAAAGGGTGAAATTATTCACCTGGTGCTTCAATGCATCCGTGTCGAGACAGACAACGCCATTTCGCGCACTACGTAGTTTCTAACACAGAGTCAGAGGAAATAAGATGGAAAACAACTCGGTCACCAGAAGCTCTACCAACACTTCTACATCCCCTACGATGACGGACACTCCATCCAAAGAACAAGGAATAGCAGTGGTTACCGCCTTTATGTTTGAAAGTGGTCTAATTGTCATGGGAAACGTCCTGACATTAATTCTCTTTGCACGGGAAAAGAAGCATCGCAAGAAAAGTCTGTTCTTAGTTATGAACATGGCCCTCGCTGATGTGATGTTAGGAGCGGTGTCTCTGCCTTTGTGGGTTTATTTTCTCATAGGACCCTACTATCTGTTGTGGACTGCAAAGACAAACACCGCCATGGTTTATTCTTTTTATTTTTTTGATACTACCTTGTCGCAGTCCTCGCTAATTTCAGCAGTTTTTATATCCTGTGAAAGATTTTATGCTGTCTATTGGCCACTTAAACACAAAACATTGTCAACACGAGCGTATGGCATTGCTATTTTTGTGGTCTGGTCTCTGGCTATCCTTGTTTCAACTGTCTATCTCTTTTCTCTCTACCAAGAGTCATATAAAGCAGCTGTCTTGTCTTGGATGTCATTCCCCTTGAGTTTCCTGTTCATCGTTTGTGCATGTAACATCGGTATATGGAGAAAAGTTCGAAAGAGAAATAACGCTTTACAACAGCAAAACCGAGCAGCATGCCGAAACCAACGCTTGACAAAAACTTTGCTGTTTGTATCCGCCATTTCTGTTCTTTCCTGGCTTCCTTTAGTCATTGTTAACTATCTGATTGCTATCCAGCGGTTTGGTATTGCAAAATTGTTTATAGGTATCATAAATATTCTTAATCTTTCCAACTCCTTTTTAAATCCACTTGTCTATGCATTAAGAATTCCTGAGTTTAGGCAAACACTTATTTTGTGTTGTTCCCGACGCCAGGCCGTAATAAATAGGCCGCGTAAAGAAAGAAAGGAAAATATCGCAGTCGTTTTGACGCCTGGGTTGCAGCTGAGAACTTTACATCCCGATTCAAGTCAAGTACAGCAGACCTTCGAGCAAAAGACAATGGACACTAAGTTATGATCAAACTGCCCGTTCTATATACATATTGATATATATTGTAAATACACTATGGACTATTCGTTTCATGAAGGAACAAGTGTTTTAGTAAAAAGCAAATTGTTAAAACACTTTTTTTTCAACAGCGAGTGCGATAACCGTAAACATCACTCCACTTCTGGGAGTAATGAACGACGTTCTTTGGACTATTGATAGTCGGCAAGATGGTGTTTAGTCATGCTTGATCTCTCAGCCGCATTTGAAACCCTAGACCATACTTTACTTTTGTATAGAGTGACTGAGTGAGTAGTCACTTCGGTTTTTCCCACACAGTGCTAAGATGGTTTTCTTCTTATTTTGCTGGTCAAAAACAATATGTTATCATTGGTAACACAATATCCAGCAGTTGGAGATTAGAATTTGGAGTTCTGCAAGGTTCGATACTCGTTCCTCTCTTGTTTAATCTTTATTCAAGACTTAATCTCTGCTCATAACCTAGACTGTATGTTCTATGCAGATGATTCTCAACTATACATTACTGTTGATCCGTCCTGCCTTAAACACCCTTCAGAAGCGTATTTAGTGAAGTTATAGAATTGAACACCATCGGTAAGTTAGTGTGCAATCCCAGTAAAACAGAAGTCATTCAGTTTAGTTCTCGTTTTGTCAAGAACCCAATTCTTAGTGATTTTTTAATTGGCAACTCTAGAGTACAACCATCAGGCCGACTTTGTAATCTTGGTGTCAACCTAGATAGAGAGCTCAATGTTAGTCATAATAGCGGAGCTCCCGCGCGCGCGAAGCGCGTGCGCAGCGGAGCACCATGGGTAAGAAAATTTGGTAAACTATCCATCCGAGAAAATTTGGTTATGACGTAGCGTACGCCCACCCGTACACACACTTCATGTAAGCCGATGTCAAATGTCACAATAGATCTTGCACAACTTGACTAGCCTCTTGGTTATGTAAGCCATCCGTATGAGTACGATTAGGTTGACAGCTATCAAAATCAGACATCCGCTGACAATTATCACATGACCGTCTCGCGGGCTCAGTTAAAAGACCAGTCGTTTCGCCCCTATATATAAGCTAGCATAATATGTCACACCTACCAATTCAACATAAAAACGAAACTACGCCGGGCAAGGCTGTCAGTTGGCTGACAGTCGTTTAAAGTTACATTAGCAAGCCAAATTAAGGTCAATTGACAGCTGTCAAAATGGGACATGTGCAGACCATTATCAGAAAAGTAATAACGTGGGCTCAGCTTCGCTCAGGTGCACGATCTGGCATTTTCCACTACATGTCTGTTAATTCGAATATTCGCCATTCTAATGAAGGTTAATTGACAGCTGTCAAACTAGAGTATACGCTGACCATCATCACCTGAGTGGATCGCGGGCTCATTTTTCTATCCATGAGGTCACGTAGTGTTTAAAGTTTTGCGCTGATATTTTATTTGATCATGGGCTCAATTCGAAGCCCCTTAGCTGTATAGAAAATCTATCCATCCTAGAAAATTCGGCAATCACGTGACCGTACACCGACCACCCGACCCTCTGTTTGTCCACACCACAGGCATACCAATGTTTAATCTCACACTTTCTAGCTAGTTTGGGAGCCTGCAACCTGATATTGTACATCCATGTTTTGATTAATTGACAGCTGTCAAAATAGTGTTTCTGCTGACCAGTATCGCCTGAACGTATCGCGGGCACAGGTATCGATCCTCTGAGTTCGAGTAATTTTTGAAGGCATCCGCTGACAAGTTGCTACTTTTCAAATGATCGCAGGCCCAAGTTCAATTTTTTTAAAATGCATATGAAATAAGTCGTGTTTCATGAACCGCACTTTTAAAATGTTGATTTCGAACTGACCTCGAACACGAAAATTCAACCGGCTTTTACATTTCCATGCAGGGAAGGCAATCGCTTTTGACTTTTCTCACTGTCACGCGTTGATCAAGCTCTACGTCCAATTTGTATGTTCTGATTGGTCAAAATTTGACAGGTGAGTTTATGCGGAAAATTTATGCAGCGTCTGGAAACTTGCTTACTGATAGCTAGAGCTGACAGAGTTTTGTGTCAGCTTGTGATGTTTTAAACTGTCTTTTTCTACTTGGTGTACAAAATGAAATACAGCTGCTATCAAGATTGTTCTGTAATTCGTGGCTGGTTTGTTTATTGCGCTTTTTGTTGACAAATACACCGCTTGTCAAAGTCATTGGAAATCCGATTTCGGATGGCATCGTTTTCAAAAATGAGCTTACTCGCTTGCCCTTGCTTGAGGCGTAAGAGGGTTGAAAAGTCTCAAGCGATTCTGTAACACTTGATGACCTTCAGAAGCAGCATCTCGACTGGTAAGCCTGAGCAATTATTGTCTTTGATGTGTTATTTTTTTTTTCGGTTTCCTGAAGTCGAGCTTATGGTTTATGCGGCTTAAGTTTAGACACGAGCAATGATCTAACCTACAATAGTATCAGGTTTAAAAAGCCTTTAGACATTTTTTGACCCGCAAATTCAAAGAAAAGGTTCCGAAGATTATTTAGTTATGATTTTGGCTGTAAACAGAAAGCTCTGAGCGATTTTCTTGCCTCGAGTTCATCTTGAAAAAGAGCGAACACCGGGAAGCCGGCTTAAAACATAAATAAGCTTATGCTTACCTGACTCATGATTTTCTGCGACACTTTACTCTCAATACTTCTCTTCGTGAATGAAAATTATTGTCTCTGTACATGTTTCACCGAATTAAATTTATTTGTTGATTGTTAGTAGTCCCTCTCGCAATTTTCATCGCTGCACCGGTTGTTTCCAGTCGAACATAAACATCGCATGCAGGAATACTCAAAACGCCGCGCGTAAATATCACTCGCTTTTAAAGATTACACATAACAAAATCATACACAGTTGAATGAATAAAGGGAAATAAAACCTAAACATAACAATTTCTCTATCATGTTGAAGCGTAAATGGTAACTCTATTAATCGCACTGCTAATTTGGTGCCTGTCAAAAGTGAGAACCCGCGCGTCCGGCTGGCCGAAAAGTGATTTTGGGAATTTTTTTTATCGTTTCATTAAAAGCCCATAATTATTACCCTGCATATCACATAGGACCAGATTTTTCTAACAGAAAAGTCCCGGCATTATAGAATTCTCTTCATGAAAACGCTTTATAATTCAATGCTATAATTTGTTGTGCAAAGGAGGCGCGTGCTTTGATCGTCGTGGATATTGAATGAGTGAAAATTCTCTTGCAAAATTGTGAAAAAAACTGAAGAATTATAGGTTTAAATAGGGCAAAAAAGAACAAATTCTGTCCGAGGTCTGTATGATAAAAAAAGGGCCTTATAATACTGTTTACCTGAGACGTGATGAGAAAAAGTATGTTTAAAAGGCTGGTTTACACGCCACCAGATTCGTCGCCAATTTACTAGTAAACTAAAGTTGTCGAACACAAAAAATCCGGCCTGATTTTTTATTTTGGCCTCTCTTTTAGACAGAGGACTGCAACGTGTAAATTGGCTGCCACCAAGGACTATCGTGGCGCATGTGTTTCTTAAAACTATATTTCGGGGTTGTCCAATTATCCATATAGTTTCTCTAACGGAGCAATGTTGAAGAGACTGGTGAATGCCACATTATGATGCAACAGCTAATGCAAATACAATACACGAATAGGTCTATTTGTTTCCCAGGCCTAATCTACTGTGATCGAACATGATTGCTATTTTTCGGTGTACAAATAAGACTATTTAATAACTCGACGTAAAATTTGTTTCACTCTTGGACGGTCAAATTCTGATTTTTCTGTAAAATCACTCAGCCTTTGCCTCAAAAGTCAAATGAATGTGCCCTGATCTGTGGATTACAAGTTTATTGTTTGGTTTAAATTATGAATTTATTAACGGGAGCTTCGCTTTTAGCCCTGACTAAATCTATATATTAGTAATGGAACCTGCAAAAAGGCTATGCTGGTGATTCGATTTATTGGCAGATAGAGGAAGTATCTGAGCAAGGATCACCTTAACATGATGGTCAATGTTTTTTTATGTCTCGCTTGGATTATTGTAACAGTTTATATTGTGCCTTACCTAAGCGGGAAATAGTCGAGCTGAAACGTGTTCAGAACTGTGCCCCACGCTTGGTTTCAGGAATAAGAAGATCTGACCATATAACTCTAGTCATGAAAGACTTGCACTGGATTCCTATTGGCGCACGCATCAATTTTAAAATACTGCTTTTAACATTAAAAATTTTAAATGATTTAGCTCCTTACTATTTGTCTTCACTCCTTCTCAAATACCAGCCGACTAGTTTACTCCTCTCATCTAATGGACTGCTTCTACAAGTTCCTTCTGTTAATACCGTGACTTACAGGCACCGCTCATTTTCATATTATGCACCGAAAATCTGGAACAGTTTACCTGATCATATCAAATACTCTGAATCTGTTTCCACTTTTTAAAAATAATTACTGTACATAGTTCTTTTAGATTTAATTTGCTATTGTAAGCGCATTGAGAATTTCTTTAATGCGCCATTAAAACCTATTATTACTATTATTATTATTATTATTATATATTAGCGAGGCGGCCATTCACGCAATGCGGGAACTTTTTGAACATGACAACAGCGACGCCGTTCTGCTTATAGACGCGTCGAACGCCTTCAACTCCTTGAACAGAGCCGCCGCCCTGCATAATATTAGAGTGTTATGCCCATCAATAGCAACCTACGCAATAAATACTTACAGGGAGCCCGCACGCCTCTTCATTGTTGGCGGACAGGAACTGAGATCATCCGAAGGCACTACACAGGGCGACCCACTTGCCGTGAGCCTATACGCCATCAGCCTTCAGCCTCTCATAACGCGACTACAAGTCAAGAGCGCAGCTAGCCAATGTTGGTATGCGGAT